CTTAGAACATTTTAACTCAGTTTACCCCATTTATTTTGACATTGTTGTCATCTATATTCTGTATTTTAATCTCTATAAGATTTTTTTATTACTGATAAAGTAAATCATTTAAATTTACTCACATATTTGCCCTTTTGGTTGCTGTCATTTCTTTGAAGTTTCCATGTGAGATCTGTTCTACCTGAAAACACTTTTCCAGTATTTCATTTAGTATATGTCTGCTGGTCATGAAATCTATTAGTTCTCTTGTGTGTGAAGTCATCTTTACTTTTATTCTTAAAGTATACATGTGCTAGGTATAGAATTTTGGCACTTTAAAACTACTCATTGTTTTCTAGCTTCCATTGTTATAAATTATTTTGCCTGTGAAAATAAAGTGCTTTTTATCTCAAGATGTTTTTAAAGTTTCTTTTTACTTAGTTTTAGTTTTTAGAGGCTTTAGTATTATGTCCCTAATATGCCTTTTTAAAATTGATGTGTAACTGTACTTAGAGAAAAACTTCAATCTGATGAATTATAATAGTAAACAAACCCACGTAATATCACCTATACCAAGAAATAGAAATTATCTATATTTTTCTAAAAGCCCCCTGGTGCTTTTTCCTAATCTCTACTAGTCTCTGCTTCCTCTCCAAAGAAATTACCATAGTAACATCTAAGAATGTATTTTTATTTTATTTATTCTGCTTGGAATTAAAAGGGGTTCTTGGATCTATTACTTAATATCAACTGTTTTGGAAAATAGTCATAATTTTTTCAAGTATTGATTCTGCTTCATTCTCTCTCTTTCTAGTTCTTAGACTTTCTCATCTATTCCCGGTCTCTTTCTCTTCTATTTTTTTAAATTCTATTGTCTCTCAAAGCTTTATTCTTTTAGTGCAATAATTCTCTCTCAGGTGTAACTAATCTGGTACTAAATCCATTTATTTAATTCTAAATTTAAATTATTGTAAAATTAAGCAAATATATGTCAATTTTTCTTACTTTGCTTTCTTACACAAAGCAATACATTATAGGTATTGAAAAGAAAGCAAGGAACTGGAAGACAGGTGAGTGAAAAATGAAAGACGGAGACCAAACACAGGTGATACACATATTTCTCCATAGACAGAGAGAGGCAAAACAGGCTTGGTGGGCTGGGGATGTGGCTCAAATGGTAACGCGCTCGCCTGGCATACTCGGGGCATTGGGTTTGATCCTCAGCACCACATAAAAATAAAATAAAGATGTTGTGTCCACTGAAAATTGAAAAATAAATATTAAAAAAAACAGGCTTGGTGTTCAGGACTTTTATGGGGCAGGCTCAGGGATTAGAGCCAGGCGGGTCCTAATGCTGGTGGTTAAAGTTTGGGTTGGTATGAGGGAGTAGTGAGTCTTCTCAAAAATGCCCTTGGGTGTGAATGCAAAATTTTTCTTAAAATGGCAGCTGTCACTTAAGATGGCTGTCCAGATGCTAAGCAAGGACATTACAGGTATTCTTTTGTACTTTTTTCTATTAATAATATATAAGTGGAGATAACTTGATAGAGATCTCCTTTACTCTTTAAGTTTTATCAAGCTATAATTTGCATATTTATGCAATTCACCCTTTGTAAGAATTCAGTTAAAAAAAATTTTAGTACGTTTTACTTCTGTAACCATTACTAAAATTTCATTTTAGAACATTTCTATGATCTAAAACATTTCTCTATTCTAATTTAGCAAGTTCCTGCTCTTCTTACCAGAATCAAAGATTTGGGCTACCCACTCACTGCTCAGAGGCCAACATTCAAGAAATGAGAGTTCATAGGAAGGGATCAGATGTATTCAAGGGCTGTCAAACTTAAAAAGATAGAAGGAATACCCCCTAAAACTCCATCTTGGGTGGCTCAGGGTTGCAAAGGGCTCTCACACAGAGAGAAAGGATGAGGACAGCAAGGAGACTGCCTATAGTCTTTGTCATTCAGGTTGAGTGTTTCTTTTTCTCTGGTAGGAAAATTGGAAATGACCTCTACCTCCTGTGGTTAAGGACTCAGGAGGGGCATTACAAAGATCATTGGATAGGTGCTGGGTGCTGTAAATCTAAAGATTATTTAGTAGTTAACATCTTACACATTTAGACTTCTCTATAATTTAGAATGCTGGTGGAGAAAGGGAGAGAACTTAAAAGGATTAGGGAGGAGAAGGGGGAAGTGAAAGTAGCCACCAATGATGATGATGACCCAAAAGAGCTGCCCTCTTTCACTCTTACTCCCAGCCCCAGGTAGCCAACAGTTTGCTTTCATTCTCCATAGCTTGCCCATTCTAGAATTTATTAATGAGACTTATTGTACAGTCAAGAATGTTGTCTGTCTTTAGCAATTTTCTGTGTGCCCTTGAAAAGTACATTTATTTTACTATTTCTGGGTAGAATATTCTATAAATGTCAAGTAGCTCATGATGGTTTGTAAGTTTTCCATATTCTTATTTATTTTCAGTCTACTTTTACAATTATCAAGAGAGGGATTATAGTCTATAGAATTTTTTTTTTTGCTGCTCTTTTCAGTTTTGTTTTGTGCTGTGATGATGCTCTTTTGTTAGGTGTATAAATATTTGGAGTCATTATATCCTCTTGATAAAATAACTTGACCTCATTTATCCATGGTAATATCCTTTTCTTTTAAATTTATTTTGTCTAATATTAGAAATCCTCAAGCTTTCTTTTGATTAGTGTTTCTATAGTTTATACTCTTCCATTTCTTTTCATCTCTTTACATTTAAACTTTGTTTCTGTGGACAGCATGTAGTTTAAGTCCTGATTCTTTTATCTAATCTTATAATCACTATCATTGAATGAGAATGAGATTGTTTAGACCATTTACATTTAATGTAATATAGATGTGGTTATGTTTAAGCTGTCATCATAGTTTGTTTTGATTTTGTTTCTTTATTTTTTGTTTCACATTTCCTCATTTTCTGTTTTTCTTTTAATTATTTTGCATATTTAATATTTATTCTTCCCCTTTGTTGATATATTAGCTATCTTTTGTTCTATTATTTATGTTATAATTTATGTTATAATCTACTTTCAGTTAAAATTATACTTTATATAGTGTTAGGACTATAATCCCTTATACTTTTATAGTACATATTATAAGTATACTTCTTTTTTTTAAGGAGAGAGAGAGAATCTTTTTTGTAGATGGACACAACACAATGCCTTTATTTTTATGTGGTGCTGAGGATCAAACCCGGGTCCCGCCCATGCTAGGGGAGTGCTCTACCGCTGAGCCACAATCCCAGCCCCAAGTATACTTCTTACACTTCATATATGTGAAGTATAAAAATATAATAAAATTATATAGTTCATATGAAGTATAACAACTTGTAACAATATACTTTCATTTCTCCCCATGTAGCCTTATTTTTTTCATACATTTTACTTATATGGCCTCACTGTGGGGAGTCCTAACAGACTTGGTCTGGCCACTTGCCCTGAAAAATCAAGCAGAAAAAGTAATGGTGAATTGGAAAGGAATTTATTCAGTATAGCTATCTTGCAAAGACAAGGAGACCCAGTGTTCTGAGCCCTGTCTTTAGGGATACCAACAAGAACTTCAAGTTTAAATAGAGAAGGGACAGAAGCTGGGGACATGAAATATGCATAGTTAAGCAGTTTGGGTCAAAACTGTGGTCTGGTTGATAATTATCTCAGATCTGGTTCTATAAGTTCCTTCTGGCTCTGGGGATGTTGTTATCCCTTGAGAAACGTTTGGTTCTCTACACTGCTTTTGCTTAGAGGGCAGCCTCAGTTCTTGTTATAGGATAGTTTCTTCCACATAGTGGGGTAGTTTCATCATAGGTTGATCTGCCTGCAAGTCTCGCTTTTTCTGGATTCTTGAAAATATCTTAGTTACTCTTTTCTTGGTGTTTTTAATTGTGAAAGAGGTCAAGAGAGATGAGGCAAATTTAGAGCTATCAACCTTGTATTTACCAGTTTTTAGAAAGACACTCAAGTGATTAACATGTCTACATGCAGATTTGAACAGGAATTTGACCTAAAGTTTAAGGCAACAAAAGAAGACCAATGCAATGTGAGGGCAGAGATGCTTTTTTCCTGCTTTTAATTACCCATCAGACATCCTCAGGACCAAGTGAAGAATCAGTGCTTTTTTAACAAAAGTAGGCTCAACCCCTTATTGTATGTATATTCACTGATTTTTCTCCTTCTGAATATTATGAATGTATTAGAAAATTCTAGAATTTTAGTATTCCTTTAAAGAGCTTTAAACTTTACTTTGGTGGGTAGTTAAGTTACTACACTATTAGTTTAATCTTTTAAAGAATTTTTAAAGGTTTTTTATGGCAGTTTTGAAGTAACCTTTATTCTAAAGCTAGGTTAGCATCACTACTAAGATAGCCCTTCTTGTGTCAACACTGAATTCCTCAGCTGTTCAACAAAAACTCACCTCTGCTTGGCAAGAAGTCATATCTCTTAGTATTGTATGGTCTCTGAGAGCTTTCAGTTGTATGGCTTCCCATTCTTTGCCTAATCTCCTGAGATTTTGCCCTGCTCTTACATTCCTTAGTATTTTCCAATAGAAGTAAAAGAGCATCTATACCAATTTTTCTGGAGCTTCTTTTCAATTAATTTCCCCATTTCTGATATTCTGCCAACAAATTCCAGCCAGCTTAGTCCACCATAACTAAATTCTATCTGTTCAACCCAAGAAACTTGCCAAGCTTTGAATCTGACTACCTCTGTACCCTGCAAATCTGGAAAATGATGCTTGGTAGACAGCTCAGGCAATCTTATGAGTCACTTATTTGTCTCTTTTCTCTCAGTGGCCATAGTTCTGCACTAGCTATTATAAAATTTACGAAAAAAAAAACAGTTTCATTAATTTTTTGTGGTTTTATTGTTGTTTACAGCAGGAAATTAAGTATAGCCCCAGTTATTCCATCCAGGCTCTACAGCAGAAGTTGATGTCTTTCAATTTTAAAGTCAACAATTTAAAATACCCCTTATTTTTGATATACAGGGCAAAGAAAGAAATTGAATACCAGGAACTGATGTTTCTTTTAACTGGAGGAGTAAGTCTTAAGGCTGCTGAGAAAAATCCTGATCCAACTTGGCTGCAGGATAAAAGTTGGGAAGAAATTTGTCGAGCAAGTGAATTTCCTGCCTTCAAAAAATTGAAGTAATTATTTACATTTGATGATTTAACATTGAATAGTGATGAGTAGATTTGTAATTTAGTGATTTTTATGGTTCTTTTTAGTTTATTGGTTGGTAGAAAGATGGGCTTTTATTATTTTGTATACAAATGTAGCTCCTATGTTACAAAAAGTCAAAGCCAATTTCTTTGACCCTGTACCCTTGAATCTGTCATTCAGGTTACCATTATAGAAACAAAAGCTGCTATACCCTAAATTCTGGAAGATGCCCCAACAAAGGTAGATTAAAGATTATTTAAAACTTCTTTCATTATAAAGAACTACCTTTCTGTGCCTCTGAATGGTAATAAAAGAAGAATCCCAAAGATCTACTGTTAATAGTGAGATTGAGAAGACCAAGTTTAATAATTTCAAACTTAATCCTTAAGTATTTCTGTAAAGACTGAGAAATGACTACCCTTTTCTTCTCCACTACAGCTGGTTTTCTCAAGTATAGATATATGTCTTCCTGGGAGCCAGACATTGAAACACAATCTCATTTGTCTCATTAGTATTCTCCAAAGGCTTCTGGTAAAAGAAGCTTTAATTTAGTTGTTTCAGTTCTTGCCAATCTTCAGTCCTTATAAAAAAAAAAAGACCTTTTTATTAAAAAAAAAAAAGTGTGTGGGAGAGGTACTATTCTAAGTAATAGTGGCCTAACCAACAAGAAATTAAAGAAAAGGAAATAAGTGCTTTTTATGACAAAGATTTTCAATTACTTATTTAACTGAAATAACTTTATTGAAATGTCTCCACATAAAAGTTCACCTTGCCCCCAGCAAGCAATTAGATGGGATCTGTGTATCACTTAAATGCCTTCATGAGAACTGGAAATAAGCCACTCTTTACTCTCTTAAGTCAAATCACATTCTTCTGGGCTATACCCTACAGAATTAGCTTTAGGAAAAACAGTAAAGGTCCTGCCAGATGGCCAGTAATAGCCCTTAGTGCTTCTGGAAGAGGACCAAGAAGAGCAGATCAGCATGGACTGTCCGCCTCAGAAAACAGGGTATGGGAAAGATATGGTTCTAAGCTGGTGGGTATTGTGGAGATTCCATATTTTTGTGTAGCCATTCTGCCTTGCCACAAAGATTATTATTATCATCATCCCTCCCCCTCCCTACTCCCCCTCCCCCTCCCCCCTCCCCCCTCCCTGTCCTCCTCCTTCGTCTTCTTCTTCAATGTATTTTTAGTTGTAGGTAAACAGAATACCTTTATTTTAATTTTTATGTGGTGCTGAGGATCAAACCCAGAACCTCACGCGTGCTAGGCAAGCACTCTACCTCTGAGCCACAATCCCAGCACCCCCCCAACCCAGGATTCCTTCTTTCTTGTGCATGTGCATTAGCAGGTGGGCATACTCATTTTATTTGACCTTTGTTCCCCTTACATACTTAATGGCCCTTGGATCTCATAGCTTGTTCTTTCCAGCCATGTCTGATGTCATCAGTTATTGCTCTTCTTGGAGGGTTCACATTAGAGGTCACTGTTGAGTTGAGGAAAAGAAGGGTGGCCTTCCAGCCCTTGCCTTGATTTTGACAATGCAGGTCAATGGCAAAGATCTCCCTAGAACAATAGCTATTAAACAGCAAAGAAGCCATAAGAGCATACTGTTGGGCCAAGACTCACTGATAGCTACATGTAGTCCAGGGTCATTGGAGCTGCCAAGACAAGCCAGTACTGAAGCAATTATTTGCTGAATGTTCATGGACCATGCACAGGATTAGGCACCCAGGGATCTGAAAACTACAGAGCATGTCAAGCTGGTCTGTACCTGGGATACTAGTGAAGAAAAAGCAGTGCTGGGAGCAGAAAGATGCAGCCTGGGGGTCTCTGCATGTCCAATGAGATGCAGCAGAGTGTGGAAATCCAAGTGATTTCAACAGGACCTGGCATACAGAACTCATGTTCTAATTGGTGAAGTAGAGGTTTTCATTAGGTGCACATTGAATGTGGAGGTCTTCAGGCCACACAGGTTGATGATGCCATACTATGAAGAGCTTATCACTATTTGTATCTGTCAGTATCATATTAAATTAGTCACTTGCCAAAGCAAAGGGATCTGAGCTCTGTATTTGGTCAGTTTACCTCTCACTCACAGCTTATGGACTAAATGACTATCCTTCCTCATGATGAGAAGAAAGATACATTGAATTCCATTCTGGCTTCTTTGTTTTCCTGCTTGTCCCCTCCTCTGCAGCTGAAGTCTTCTGTTCTGTACTTTCTTTTGCCAGATGTTATTCAAGGGGAAGTTGGCAGTTGTTAGTCCAAGGAGCAAGCAAGCAAAAAATAGCTTTCCCCTCCCCCCCCCCCTTGGTGGTGAGGAGTGAATGCAGGACCTCACACATGGTAGGTAAGCATTCTACCACTGAGTCACATCCCTAGCTCTTTTTTCAAATTTTTATTTTGAGACAAGGTCTTACTAACTTGCCCAGGCTGGCCTTAAACTTACCATTTTCCTGACTCAGCCTCTCAAACAAAAAAATAGCATTTCTTTTGTTTTTAATATTTATTTATTTATTTATAGTTGTAGTTGGACCCAATACCTTTATTTCATTCATTTATTTTTATGCAGTGCTGAGGATCAAACCCAGGGCCGCAAGCATGCTAGGCGAGTGCTCTACCACTAAGCCACAATCCCAGCCCCAAAATAGCATTTATTTTCAGGACCAAAATAATACCCTGGTAAATATGATACTGAAGAACTTCCAGTTGTACCCAATGAGGATGAGACTTATCAGGCCCATTGCCAGAGTTTTATAGGCTCTGTGGTTTCTATTATACCTCTCTTTAGAATTGTGTGAGTCAAGAGTTCTCTTGGTGGCTTCTTCTCTCATGTCTTCTCCTACTCTGCCAGCTGCCTTTATTCATTTCTGTTCCTAGTTAGAGTGTACTTTCCAGCTTCCCCTCAGTTACAGTTCCTGTAATCTAGTGATTTTTAAATGGCTCTATAACTTTTTTATTTTTTCCCCTTGCTCAACAGTCTCTCAAAACCTTTCCAAATAAAAACAATAATTATTAAACTTTTTCTACTAGGACCCATTTTTGTGAACATTTACTGGAATGGCGGAAAATCTATGACAGTAAAGAGCCACATAATGCAAAATTTCCAGCACCATTGGATAAGAATCTAAATGAACTACAGAAAATAATAATTCTTCGGTGCTTAAGGCCAGATAAGGTAAAAGACATATGTGGTTGATTTGGAATCCAGATAATTTGCCATTTATTAAATACTAGTCATAAAGATATAGTCATGTACTGCTTAATGATGTTTCAGTCAATGATGGACCTCATAATATGACAAAGTTCACATTATATTATAATGCAGCTGAAAATTTTCTGTTACCTAGTGATGTTGTGTCCATCATGAGGGCATAGTGTAATGCATCACTTACATATCTGTGGCATGCTAGTGTATCCATTGAACCTCCAGTCATATGAAAGTATAGCACAGATAATTATGTAACTATATAATACTTGATGATGACCATAAATGATTATTGCTGTTTTATTTTCTACACTATATTTTAATTATGAATTTAGAATGTACTCCCCTTTATTTTAAAAAACGTGAAACAACCTCAGGCAAGCCTTTTAGAAGGTATTTCAAAAGAAAGCCTTCTTATCATAGGAAATGACAGTTCCATGGGCATTAACACCCCCTGAATACCTTCTAGTGGAATGAGATGTAAGGTGGAAGACAATGATACTGACAATTCTGATCCTGTGCAGGTCTAGGCTAATGTGTGTGTTTGTGTCTTAGTTTTACAAAATAGTTTTAAAATTTTGAGAATTTTTAAAAATAGAAAATATTTTATAGAATTAGACTATAAAGAAATATTTTCATACAGCTATACCATGTATGTTTTAAGTTTCTACAAAAAAATCTCAAAAAGTTTTAAAAACTTTATAAACTTGTGAGTGAAAATATTATAGTAAGTTAAGGCTAAATTTCTTATCCAAGAGAGAGAAACTTTTTAAAATTCAGTATACTGAGTCTACAGTGTTCATGGACTCTGTAGTAGTACATGATAATGTCCTGGGCCTTCACATTTCGTCATCATTCAATGAATCATCCAGCGCAACTTCCAGTCCTAATTAGCTCCATTCATGGTAAGTGCCCTGGACAGATGCAACATTTTTCTTTTGTATTATACTTTTACTATATATATTTTTATTTAGATATGTTTAGATTCCATTTAGATATGTTTAGATATCATTATGTTGTAGTTACCTATAATATTCAGTACAGTAGCATGCTGTACAGGTGTATAGCCTAAAAGCATTAAGCTATATAATAGAGCCTAGGTGTATAGTGCACTATATCAGGTAGGTTTCTGTAGATAATATTCTATGATACGCAGGAAATCAACTAATGACACATTTCTTGGAAATTAATCCCTGTTATTAAGTAACACACAGCTATATTATTATTTGATTTTTGGCGGGGTGGGTTGGTTTTGTTTTATTTTGTTTTTTGGCAGTCCTAGGGATTGAATCCACAGCCTTGTGCATGCCAGGCAAGTGTTCTACCACTGAACTACATCCCAGCACTGTTATTTGGTTCTTTAATTCTCATTTCAGATACTCACACGGTATCAAACACAGTATCTCATTTCAGAACCCCACAGATGGGGTAATTATCCATCTGTGGGTTTATTGGAGATACTTTTGGCCATTGTTTCCTCTTCAGGATTTTTTTTTTCTTTTCTTTGTGGCACTGGAGATTGAATCCAAAGGTGGTCTACCACTGAGCTATAGCCCAGCCCTTTTTTAAAATTTGAAATGGAGTCTAAGTTGCCCAGGCTGGCCTCCAACTTGTGATCCTCCTGCCTAAGCCTCCCAAGTAGCAGGGATTATAGGCGTGCACCATTGCATTTGGCTTCTCAAATATTTTTTGCCAGCCCACCCAAGATTCCAATTATATATATGTTAGGCTGTTTGATATAGTGCCATACTAGTGATGTTAAAATGATGTTATTTTTTTTAAATCTTTTGTGTCTTTGTATTCATTTGAATAGTTTCTGATGCTCTCTTTATTTGCTGATTTTTTTCCTTTTGTAGTGTTAATCCCATCCAATAAATTTTTTAGTTATGTATTTCATCTTTAGAATAGTTTTTTGTTTTTTTTATATGTGTTCTGTTTCACTTTTCACTCTGCTCACGTTTTTTAAAGCTTTAAACACAAGTTATAACTGTTTTCAAATCCTTAACTGCTAATTCGATCCATTTCTGGATATCTTATTTTACTTATTTGTCAACTTATTTTACTCTTGGTTATAGATTATATTTTCCTGCTTCTGGGCATGTCCAATAATGTTTGATTGGGTGTTGTACATTGTAAATTACTGATGGCTTATTTTTTGTTATATTCCTATAAAGATAATGTGTTTTAGGCTGGGGTTGTGGGCTCAGTGGTAGAGCACTAGTCTAGCATGTGAGAGGCCTTGGGTTCTATCCTCATCACCACATAAAAATGAATAAGTAAAATAAAGGTATTATGTCCAACTATAACTAAAAAAATAAATATTAAAAAAAAGATTGTTGTTGTGGGGCTAGGGTTGTGGTTCAGTGGTAGAGTGCTTGCTGAGCATGTGTGAGGCACTGGGTTCGATCCTCAGCACCACATTAAAAAAAAAAAGACATAAAATAAAGTTATCATGTTCATCTACAACTAAAAATATTTTTTAAAAAAGATTGTTATGCTTTGTCCTACTGTTTAGGAATCAACAAACACTAACTGTGGACCAAATCCAACCTTTGATTTCTTTCTTTTTTTCTTTCTTTTTAATATATATAATATATATATTTAGTTGTCAATGGACCTTTATTTTATTTATTTATATGTGGTACTGAGGATCAAACCCAGTGCCTCCCACATGCTTGGAAAGCACTCTGCCACTGAGCGACAACCCCAGCCCCCATGATTTCTTTTATCCAGCCCATGAAAGAAGAATGTTTTACACATTATAAAGTAACTATTTTAAAAATAAGAATATGCATCAAAAATTGTATGTGTCCTACAAAGCCAAAAATATTTACTATCTGGCCCTCTACAGAATAAGTTTGCCAACTCCTGTGGCTATATAATTAAATTACTTGACTTTAAATTGTTCCTTTTGAGTATTATTATTATTAAAATTTGTTAGGGATGATCTTAAATAGTCTTTCCAACTGATAGTTTAGCCCAACTATTAAAGTGTTGCCCTTATGGGATCTTTCCTGAATGTCCCAGGTGATCATCAAGGACTCCTCATTGTGTTTATTGGGAACTTTAATGAATTTCTAGTCTTGCATGAACTCTGATAGTTCCCTGAGCCCCCAGCTCACACCTCCCCAATCATTCTTTGCTTGGCCTTATACACACATGCCACAGTATTTATAAAAAACTCCAAGGTTTTTTTATATAAATTTCTGAACTCTGCCTGAATAGTTCTCTCCTAATTGGAACTCTACAACTCCTGGCTGCCTTGGTCTCCTTGAATTCCTTTTCTGTCTTATCAGCCCAGCAACACTGCAATGCTGTGTATGAGTCTGCTTTCCATTGCTGTAGCAAAATACCTGATACAAACAACTTAAAAGGAAGAAAGGTTTATTTGGGGTCATGATTTCAGCGGTTTCAGTCCATGGTCACTTGGCCCCATCATTTTGGACTTTTGATGAAGCAGAGCCTTTAGTGGTAAACATGTTGTGGATCAGAGCTGCTCTCCTCATGGCAGCCAGAAAGCAAACAAAAAGAGTGAGGAAGGGAATAGGACAAGATATATCCTTCCAGGGCTTGCCCCCAGTTACACCTACTTCTTCTAGCTAGGTCCCATCTCCTGTAGTTTTCACCAACTCCCAAAAGTCCATTCAATTATGAATCCATCTGTGGATTAATTTGTTGATAAGATTATAGATGTAACGATTCAGTCACTTCCCAGAAACCCCACCTCTCAATTGCTGCATTGGGAACGAAGTCTTTAATATATGAATCTTTAGCGGACATTCTAGATCCAAACCATAACATTCTACTTCTAGTCTTACCCTCTGTAAAGAAGAAAGCTGAGGAATTAATAGGGTTCACTTTGTTTCCTTTTTATCTAGGATCACAGTCCTGCACCACCTAATGCCAATATCTTTAATGGTTGTTTTATTAATTTTGCCTGTTTTAAAATTGTTTATAGTGGGAAGGTAATTCTAATCCCTTTAACTAGAAACAGGAGATGGTGGAAAATCTTGTACATGTCACAAAATCATTAGTCCAAATGTGTAGAAAAATATTTTTATAGGTGGGATAAGTAAGATAATACTATTTTTCACACACCAAGAAAGGTTATTATGTGTTACAAAAGGAAAAACTTAATAGAAAACACAAACATCTATGTTCACACATATAGTTTAAACTTTGGCGGTAAAGTAAAATTTATTTACAGTTTTTAAATGTTAAACAGTAAGAAAGACTGTTCAAGACTCGTAACAAGTAGTAGTCAAGGCTCACAATAGAGGAGAGACATAAGGCTCAACTCTGAATACAACAGAGATGGTTGGGGATTTGCAGCCAAGGAGAAGGGTAGGAGAAAGTACTAATACTACATTAAGGATAGAGAGAATCCTGACCCAAAGGATTTTTGCTTTAAGCAGGCCAGTATGATCAGATTTGAGGGATTAGGGTGATTAATTTAATCAGATATGAAGGATGGTGGGTTCTTACTAAACTGATTTAGCAGAATTCTTGCTACAGAAGGTCTCCTAAGGACAAGGCCTAGTAGAAAAAAGATTCAGAGGAGCCTAAGGTTTGGTCAAGGAGAGAATCTGTTGTCACTTCACTTTCCTTGGCTCAGGTATACCATATATAATATGAAGGTGTTAAAATGATAGCAACAGTCTCTTCCTTCCTTCTCTGTCCTTCCTTCCTCCCTCTCTACTTGTTACATTTTTAGTAAAGTCACACAAGGAGCATTATCTAATGTTTCATTCTATCTCTGGGCAGGTTCAAAAGGAGGCTACCTAATTATCTCATTTTCTCCTACCCGATAATAATGTGTGTGTGTGTGTGTGTGTGTGTGTGTGTATGAGAAAGAGACCAATTTGTATTTCATTTTCTATAAACAGCTTTCTCCTCTGCCCATTTTACTTTTGGATTGCTATTCTTCTATTAAATTAGCAAACACATTTTGCATATTAGGGAAATTAGTGCTTTGTCTGATATGCTAAATGCTTTTTTTGGCCAGGTTCAAATTTCATTTTTTCTCATTTTTCAATAATAAAGTTGTTGTATGAAATAGAAATTACTCCAAAGACCACATTTTCTCTCTTCACCAGATAACACCAGCTATAACAAATTATGTAACTGACAAACTCGGAAAAAAGTTTGTAGAACCTCCACCATTTGATTTGACAAAGAGTTATTTGGATTCAAACTGCACCATTCCCTTAATTTTTGTGCTGTCTCCAGGGGCAGATCCCATGGCCAGTAAGTGTATATGTTGTAATATTGTAAACTTCTAAGAAATTACAATTAAAATATTTTGCTCATTGCCTACTTGTTATATGATTATAAATCAGTTAGTAAATCTGGCATTCATAGGGAGAGATAACTAGAACTTTCTATGATAATACATGTATACATAGAAATCATAAGGCATATTTTATAATTCTAAAGTAATTTCTTGTTCTCTTCATAGGCTTACTGAAATTTGCAAATGATAAGTCTATGTCTGGAAATAAATTTCAAGCCATTTCACTGGGTCAGGGACAAGGACCAATTGCAACAAAAATGATTAGAGCAGCAGTAGAAGAAGGAACTTGGGTTTGCCTACAGAATTGTCACCTTGCTGTCTCCTGGATGCCCATGTTGGAAAAAATATGTGAAGATTTTAGCACTGAAACCTGTAACTCATCCTTTAGGCTTTGGCTCACAAGTTACCCATCTCCAAAAGTATGTTTGTTTATTATAGAAGTCAATTTAGCTGTTACATTGTATGTCTTGAGTTTTAGACATTTGTTAATTCACTGGTTGTATGCATTTTTAGGGTCTAAGATTGCTATCTTGCATAATGTTTGTATATATTTTGTCTTAGTTCCCAGTAACAATTCTACAGAATGGAGTAAAAATGACTAATGAACCTCCCACGGGTCTTCGGCTAAATCTCCTTCAGTCATATCTCACGGATCCAATTTCTGATGTTCAGTTTTTCAAGGGATGCCAGGGAAAAGAACTGGTAACATTCAACTTCTGAAACTTTTAAATTGTTTCATAGTGATTAAATATGTTAATATAAAATTGTTATTTAATATTTTAAAATTCATGCATTTCCTAACAAGACAAATTATTCCTACTGCTTCATTATTTTGTTCCTGGTTGTTTGTGTTCTGCTCACCACAAGTAGTAACATTGAAATAAATATTTTTGAATGAACGAATGTATCTTAGGTTATAAACCAAAGTACAACAGGGTTTTCAGTTAACAACCAAGAGTAGTAATCTATTTTTACATCATTTATTCATTCTTTCAACAAATTTGTGTATTAGGCACTCTCTAGGTGCTAAACACAAAGCAGTGAGAACAAAATAGGTACAAGGAAATCTGCCTTCGTGGAACTTAAATTCAAGTGATAATGTCTTAGCATATTAATAATGTTTTTCAAACTAGGGATAACAGGAACATACCTCAATATTGTAAAAGCAATCTATGCTAAGCCTCAGGCTAGCATCATTCTGAATGGAGAAAAATTGAAGGCATTCCCTCTAAAATATGGAACAAGACAGGGATGCCCTCTCTCACCACTTCTGTTCAACATAGTTCTCGAAACACTGGCCAGAGCAATTAGACAGACGAAAGAAATTAAAGGCATCAAAATAGGAAAAGAAGAACTTAAATTATCACTATTTGCAGATGATATGATTCTATACCTAGCAGACCCAAAAGGGTCTACAAAGAAACTATTAGAGCTAATAAATGAATTCAGCAAAGTGGCAGGATATAAAATCAACACGCATAAATCAAAGGCATTCCTGTATATCAGCGACAAATCCTCTGAAATGGAAATGAGGACAACCACTCCATTCACAATATCTTCAAAAAAAATAAAATACTTGGGAATCAACCTAACAAAAGAGGTGAAAGACTTATACAATGAAAACTACAGAGAGAAATAGAAGAAGATCTTAGAAGATGGAAAAATATACCCTGTTCATGGATAGGCAGAACTAACATCATCAAAATGGCGATATTACCAAAAGTTCTCTATAGGTTTAATGCAATGCCAATCAAAATCCCAACAGCATTTCTTGTAGAAATAGAGAAAGCAATCATGAAATTCATATGGAAAAATAAACGACCCAGAATAGCAAAAACAATGCTAAGCAGGAAGTGTGAATCAGGGGGTATAGCGATACCAGACTTCAAACTATACTACAGAGCAATAGTAACAAAAACAGCATGGTACTGGTACCAAAACAGGCGGGTGGACCAATGGTACAGAATAGAGGACACAGAAACCAATCCACAAAACTACAACTACCTTATATTTGATAAAGGGGCTAAAAGCATGCAATGGAGGAAGGATAGCATCTTCAACAAATGGTGCTGGGAAAACTGGAAATCCATATGCAACAAAATGAAACTGAATCCGTTTCTCTCACCATGCACAAAAGTGAATTCAAAATGGATCAAGGAGCTTGATATCAAATCAGAGACACGCCGTCTGATAGAAGAAAAAGTTGGCTACGATCTACATACTGTGGGGTCGGGCTCCAAATTCCTCAATAGGACACCCATAGCACAAAAGTTAATAACTAGAATCAACAAATGGGACTTACTCAAACTAAAAAGTTTTTTCTCAGCAAAAGAAACAATAAGAGAGGTAAATAGAGAACCTACATCCTGGGAACAAATCTTTACTCCTCACACTTCAGATAGAGCCCTAATATCCAGAGTATACAAAGAACTCAAAAAATTAGACAATAAGAGAACAAACAACCCAATCAACAAATGGGCCAAGGACCTGAACAGACACTTCTCAGAGGAGGACATACAATCAATCAACAAGTACATGAAAAAATGCTCACCATCTCTAGCTGTCAGAGAAATGCAAATCAAAACCACCCTAAGATACCATCTCACTCCAGTAAGATTGGCAGCCATTATGAAGTCAAACAACAGCAAGTGCTGGCGAGGATGTGGGGAAAAGGGTACACTTGTACATTGCTGGTGGGACTGCAAATTGGTGCAGCCAATTTGGAAAGCAGTATGGAGATTTCTTGGAAAGCTGGGAATGGAGCCACCATTTGACCCAGCTATTCCCCTTCTCGGTCTATTCCCTAAAGACCTAAAAAGAGCATGCTACAGGGACACTGCTACATCGATGTTCATAGCAGCACAATTCACAATAGCTAGACTGTGGAACCAACCTAGATGCCCTTCAATAGATGAATGGATAAAAAAAATGTGGCATTTATACACAATGGAGTATTTCTCTGCATTAAAAAATGACAAAATCATAGAATTTACAGGGAAATGGATGGCATTAGAGCAGATTATGCTAAGTGAAGCTAGCCAATCCCTAAAAAACAAATGCCAAATGTCTTCTTTGATATAAGGAGAGTAACTAAGAACAGAGTAGGGACGAAGAGCATGAGAAGAAGATTAACATTAAACAGGGATGAGAGGTGGGAGGGAAAGGGAGAGAGAAGGGAAATTGCATGGAAATGGAAGGAGACCCTCAGAGTTATACAAAAGTACATACATACAAGAGGAAGTGAGGGGAAAGGGAAAAATAATACAAGGGGGACAAATGAATGTCAGTAGAGGGGGCAGAGAGAGAAGAGGGGAGGGGAGGGGAGGGGAGGGGGGATAGTAGAGGATAGGAAAGGCAGCAGAACACAACAGACACTAGTATGGCAATATGTAAATCAATGGATGTGTAACTGATGTGATTCTGCAATCTGTATATGGGGTAAAAATGGGAGCTCATAACCCACTTGAATCAAAGTGTGAAATATGATATATCAAGAACTATGTAATGTTTTGAACAGCCAACAATAAAAAATTTAAAAAAAAATAATGTTTTTCAGCATATCCGTCTAAAACAGTTTACATGGTGTTGGGTACTTCAGAAGGTCCCAATAAAATAATACTGTCTGAATTATTACCACTTGAGAAGCAGGAAAGAATATAAACATAGAGGAACCAAGCATAATCTTAATTTTTTATATAGGCTAGATTGGAAGATAATGTAACTTATATCTGTGAGAAAATGGATTACTTATTAACTGAACCCCAAAATTAAGATTTACCTCTATAGGAATAGAGGAAAACTCAGTTCCCTGCAAGAAGATCACTTCTAAGAGAGAAAAAGGAGAAACTGAGCCACGCATATTGGTTAATTTTCCCCAAAATTTACTACCTCTTCTATAGCAAATAAGTATAAGGATGGAGAAAAGTAAGGGATGATATGTTAGTTGAGGCTTCCCACCATGGAAGGAAACAGCATTGGGAGAAAATTGTCCCTCTGCCCTCTTTTCAACATATAGTATTTATCACATTTGCCTACTTGAGCTAGAAGAATGTTACTGAAGGTGAAACATGACCAAATTCTTTGGAATCCAGCCACCTCTGCTTAATGATAATTTTGTGTGCTTCTACTTCTGCACATTTTGTTTGTAAGGCTATGAGAAAGGGAAATATTTTGTGTGTTTTTAGCTAGAAAAAGAACTTAGTAGAATGGAGGAAGTGGTATAGTATTTGATTCCCATCCAGTACCTAGAAGCTAGTACCTAGGAGCCCTAGTACCTAGAAGAAAGAGGTCCCGAAACAGAGAATAACAAGCAGAACTAATTTGGGGCTCAGATAACTAAAAAAAAAAAATTGTGCTGTGTTGGAAAGAAGCACTCTTGATTCTTTCTATATTACAACTTGAGCAAGCAATATTGGGATCTGGGGACATCCAAAATTAGCCTCCATGTCACATAGCATCATTTTATAATCATTGGCAATAAGTAAGGCTTCACCAAGCAACTTCTCGGATAGTAAAAAATAAAAAAAATTAAAAATGGAAGCTGAAGTAAGATCAGAAAAAGTGCAAATGCCTTGTAACATTCATTCTCAGCATGCATCAGATTCTCCTAGAAGGCTTAGTGAAACATCTTGGTGAACCCCATCCCCAGAATTTCTAGTTCAGTAGGCCTGGGATAGGGCTTAAGAATTTGCCATTCTAAGTCTCAAGTGAAACTGATACTGCTGATCCTGAAATCACACTTTGAAAATCATTGTGTTCTAAGAATTTTTTAGAACATCTAGTTTTGGCAGGATGGGGGAATCTAGATAATAGGACTATGAGCAAACTTTCCTGATATCCCTTTTCACATCTCTTCAGTTCATATCTAATTTTAGCTACAACTGTAAAAGAGATGATAGATCTTTGTGTACTCATTCACCTTAGGCTGATAGCATCCCATCTAAGTATGCATATTTCTGCTTTCTGTCTCCAGGAATTCTCTATGCCACCAGAGCCCTTATGGCCTACAGATACATTATCACTTTGAGTTTTGTCAATTTTATTTTATTTTTTATTTATTCTAATTAGTTATACATGACAGCAGAATGCATTTCAATTCATTATACACAAATAGAGCACAACTTTTCATTTCTCTGATTGTACACGATATAGAGTCGTACCACATGTGCGGTCATACATGTACCTAGGCTAATGATGTTCATCACATTCCATCATCTTTCCTATCCCCATGTCCCCTCCCCTTCCTCCCTCCCCTTTGCTGAATTTTATTTTTTTATTTAATTTATTTACTTATTGGTGAAAATAATATTGTTGACAGGGAACACTTTTCTCAGAAGAATTGTGTCCCTGCCATAGCAAAAGCTTTAATAACTCATTCTAATATTGACTTTTCCTCTTGCCCTGTGTTCCTTTCCCCACTCTTTCTTTTCTGCTTCATGGGGTCACCTCCCATATAAGCCCACCTTCACTCTAATCTTTCCTTCAAGTTGTGCTCTTGGAGGAACCCAATCTAAATAAAGACCAAAGACAGAAAACAATGCAGCTATTTAGTTTTCCAAAACTTGAATGATGGTCTCTACCTAAAGAAAAACCATTATGTGAATGCTGAGTGAAATAAACCAGACTCAAAAAGTCAAGGGTTGAATGTTTTCTCTCAGATGCAGAAGTAAGAGAGAAATAAGGAATTAAAAAAAAAAAAAGATGTAGGTTGGATCTCTTGAAAATAGGAGGGAGAACAGTGGAATAGACCATGGGAACTGAGGAGGAGGAAGGACGGATGGGAAAGGGCAGGAACTGCAGAATGAAATCACATCATGCTATGTGCATGTATGAATATATCACAACAAATTCCACTTTTGTATTTAATGCACCAAGTAAAAACATAAAGAAAATGAATTATGTGAAAATACAGTGTCTGGAAAATATATGTAAATTAATATGTGATTTATTAATATATGAAAATACATGTTAATTCTTTCCATTGCCAAAATGTTATTCTCATATCAGATGTTTCACCATAGCATTTATCTAGTATATTTAAAATATGCTTTGATTTATGTACATTATTTCAAGAATATATCAGTTTAGTAATGCATAGCATGCTTGCTTCCCCCGACTCCCCACCCTGCAGTGCTTGTAATTGAACCCAGGGCCTTGCACATGCTAGACAGACATTCTACCACTGAGTTACATCCCCAGCCTTTTTAATTTTATTTTGAAATGGAGTCTTGCTAAGTTGCTCAGGCTGGTCGCAAACTTTGTGATCCTTCTTCAGCTTCCCCAGTATCTATAATTACAGGCCTGCACCACCACACCCAGCAGAAGGCTTGCATTTTAACTGTTTTTGTTTGTTTGGTTGGTTTTTTTGAGACAGAGTCTTGCTATGTTACCCAGGCAGGCCTTGCACTCCTGGGTTTAAGCAGTCCTCCTGCCTCAGCCTCTTGAGTAGATGGGACTTCAGTTACACACCACCATGTCCTGCTTGCACTTTTATAATAAATAAGCCAGGTACAGTGAAGTATGCCTGTAGTTCCAGCCATTCAGAATGTAGATTTAGAACTGTTTGAGATTACCTGACTTAAAGTACATGGCATAAGTGCTTGAAATGTACTTAGGGCTACCTTAAACAATGTATGGTCATACCCAGAATGCTGACACAGGTTATGAGAGGCCCATGTGACATCCATATTTCAACATATGAAGTTATCATGTATAGACCAAATGAACAATGCTTTCAAAAGTGATCTCTAGATGAAAAGTAACAAAGTCTAGAATTATATATTGGGATTTTTCAAATCCTAATAATTATTCTTCTGAACTTATAGTCTCAAATACATGCCAGCAAGACTACAGGACAACATTTGAGTACTGAGATTGCAAATATCTGTGAATAATACCAAGGTATTTTAGCCAATATCTGAATCAAATTGTTGTTACAATTTTTGCATTTTAATGAAGTTTAATATTGCGGTTAGTTTAGCTTCGGAAATTTGAATTAAGTGATAAGATGATGTTTTTTTTAATAAGTATTATTTTAGATCTTTTTAAAATAGCACTTCAGATACATAGTCAAATAGATACATGGTCATAGATCCTTGTAATGAAAAAGGTCACCTGTTCCCCTCATCTTACTGATGAAAATCTAATCGTAATTTTTATTGTATAATTTTTACATGAAAGGCATGGGAGAAGTTGCTATTTGGAGTTTGTTTTTTTCATGCCCTTGTGCAAGAGAGAAAGAAATTTGGTCCTCTTGGTTGGAATATTCCATATGGATTTAATGAATCAGATTTACGCATCAGTATCCGGCAACTACAGGTAATATTGGAAAGGAAGGGAACTAACATTTATGAATGATTATTGTTAATTAGGTCCTACGCAAGCCCCTTTGTTTACAATAATTGATTCAGTTCTCCCAACATCACTAATACATGGGTAGATTGTTGTAATAGCTTTTTTCCACCTGGATTCTTTCAGTTGCAAATAATGGGAAACTTGATTCGAACTGGCTTAAACCATAATTAAATTTATTATCACACATAAAAAAGAGGTGCATAGAAAGAACAAGCTCTGAAGTTGGTTGATTGAGCCACATGACAGCACTGTTATCAAGAACCCTGGTTCTTTCATCTTTTTGCAGTGCCACTCTCAGTATTGGCTTTATAGGTTCTCACTGTCTTTCCTCCTCCACTCAGCCAATTCTACAATTTAGTTCTATCAGCCAACAGAAGCAGGCTGTCTACATTAAGCAGAAAAGTAATATATAGAAAAGTTATATATGGAAACGATGGAAAGGATATTTGGTACCTCACAGGATTACCAAGACAGTTGGAAATCCAGGCTCAGAGGAAAGGCATCTAGAGCCATATCTAGAATTATGACTGATAAGAGCAGCATCTCTACCCTTGTTGAATATTAGAAATCAGAGCCTGCATAAACTGATGACTGAGTGGATAGACAATCAGGCAATGAGTTGTTGGTCTCCGTTTCTCACACATGCCACAAATTTAACATTAAATTCTCTTGGGGGTCTCTTGGTTTGGAGTAAGGAAGCCAGATGAACATATCTTTGCCCTCCCTCAAAGACAAGAGAGGGGGAAACTTTCCTCTTTCCACAAATAATTTATTATCAAAACAGATGACCATCCCTCTTTCTCAGCCTTCCTCTCCTATCTCTTGACACTTCTTTTTCTCCCAGACATACGAGAGTCTCTTTGGCTCTGGATAATCTAGAAAAAGTTTTTCTCCACTGTGCACCATTTCTGCTGTAACTCCTGCCCTATGAACTAAATTTTAGAAATAGGAAAAGCTTTCAACCAGTAACATATTATCCCAATATATATGCTACTTAAAATTGCTATACATTAAAAAGAGTATAGAATCTAGAACTGGAAGAAATTATTTCACATTACTTTACATTTTCAGACTGTTTACTGCTCTACAGGGTTACTGGGAGATGAATAACACAATGTAAAAGCTATGTAAATAGTTTTTATTCCTATTATTTCCATGATAATAAGGAAACTAGAAACAATATGTATTCTTTCTTAATTTTCTTATTTGCTTTAATTAGTTGTACATGACAGTTAAATGCATTTATGCACTTTGATATATCATACATAGATGGGATATAATTTCTCATTTTTCTGAGTTTACATGTTTCAGAATCATATTGGTCATGCAGTCACATATATACATATAGTAATAATGTCTGTTTCATTATTCTATCTTTCCTATCTCCACATCACCTCCCCACCCCTCGCATAACTTCCCTCTACCTAATCTGAGGTAACGCTATTCTTCCCTAGTGCCCCCTGCCTTATTATGAATTAGTATCTGCACATTAGAGAAAACATTCAGCCTTTATTTTTGTGGGATTGGCTTATTTCGGTTAGCATGATATTCTCCAACTCCAGTCATTTACTGGCAAATGCCATAATTTTATTCTTCTTTAAAGCTGAGTAATATTCCATTGAGTATATATACCACATTTTTTAAATCCATTCGTCTATTGAGGGACACTTAGGTTGATTCCATAGACTAACCATTGTAAATCGAGCTACTATAAACATTGATGTGGCTGTATCACTATATAGTATGCTGATTTTAACTCCTTTGGGTATAAACCAAGAAGTGGGATAGCTGGGTCAAATGGTAGTTCCATGTATTCTTTATCAGTGAAACTTTGTCATAGTGTTTGAGCAAGGTTCTGGCACTACAGGTTGAAATTGTTTTTATAACATTGTGAAAGGTCTCCTAAACCAGGCACCAGCCTCTTGGCCTTGATGTTATTGGCATTTGGGGCTATGGGCAATTATCCTGAGATTATTTAACACCATCCCAGGCCTCTATCCCATAGATGCCAGTAGCATATCCACCACATTTATGACAGTCTAAATTATTTCTAGACATTACTAAATATCTGCTTTGGAACAAAATTGATCCCAGTTTATCCAAAATGAGGTGTGTTCAATTTCACAATTAAAAAGACTTTGGTAATTTCCATGTCATCTTTTTTTAATTATTAATTATTTTTTTCATTAAAGAAGCAACATGTATTTATTTTTTAAATGGGAGATGCATATAAACAAAGAAATTTAAAACAAAACACTAAATCCAAAGACAACCAACCCATGCTGGTAACTCTTTCAACACCTTTTCTGTGTAGATAGATAGATAGATAATGCAATCTTAAAATGGAAATAAATGGAAGGAATTTAAGCTTTTTCTTCATTTTTTTCTTTGTTTCAGTTATTTATAAATGAATATGATACAATTCCATTTGAAGCTATTTCTTATCTGGCTGGAGAATGTAATTATGGAGGAAGAGTTACAGATGATTGGGACAGGCGCCTCCTATTAACCATACTGGCTGACTTTTATAATCCACACATAATTGAAATGCCTCATTATAAGTTTTCTCCCAGTGGGCATTATTTTGCACCTCCCAAAGGTACTTATGAGGACTACATTGAATTCATCAAGGTAACTGACACCACTGTAATATAGGGTTGGATTTATGTATGATTTTTCTAAAAGGAAATGATGAAATGTTCCCTCTCTAATGTGTACATTTTAGACAAGTATTAATGATTTCAATCAACTATCATGTATTTGTTTTCTTACTGGTTAGTGACATTGGAAAAGTTTGATTCTTCTATCATTTGATGTTCAGTTGGTTTTAAACCTTTTTTTGATCTGCACAGGTTTCCCTTATGAATTAATGTTTTATAGGAAAAAAAATACCCTCCTTAGATTATTGGCTGGAGCCTCTGAATTTAACTGACAAAAGACAGATTAGCAGGAGAAAATGCATTAAATTTGTACTGTGTTACAAGGGTTTTTCAGAAAATAAGTGAAAACCAAAAGAAGCAGATTACATGGGAGTTTATATACCGTCTAAATAAAGGGTGATGAATTGTGAAGATTGACTAAACAAAGGAAAGGTGGCATGGGCTTCTGTGGGTAATAACTTGTGAGAAAGTAATTAGGAAATATACGGCAAAATGGAAGATAAGAATTATCTTAGTACAATGTGTTTGTATACACTCATCCTCTAGTGCCAGCCTTCAGTCTCCTGTGTGATAAGAATGGCTCTCCTCATCCTGGTACAGGACAGAGGAGAATTTATGGCCCACTTTTAGGCAGAAGAGGGAAGGGAAGGGAACTCTTTTTGTATCTATTGATTTTTATATTAACTTCATCTATTTTTACGTTAAATTGGCATATTTGGGGGTAGCATATCCTGATCCCCTTCAATATCCAATTAAAATGTGACACATGCTTAATCTATTTTGTGGTAGAAACTTCCATTTACTCAAGATCCTGAAATATTCGGATTACATGAAAATGTTGATATCTCCAAAGATCTTCAGCAAACAAAAATCCTTTTTGAGTCCTTGCTCCTCACTCAGGGAGGCTCAAAACAGACAGGATCCTCAGGAAGTACTGACCAGATTCTATTAGAAATTACGGAAGATATACTCAACAAGGTATTATCTAGCTTAAAATATATTGCTTATAAGATAATAAAAATGGTTATGATATAACAGTCTTAAAACTCCCATTTATCATCAGTATGACTTTGAGCAAGATACTTTACCTCTCTGAGCATTAGTTTCTAAGCCTATTAAATGGTAAGAATAGTACATATTATTGTAAAAGGTTTATGAGGACATTAAACAACATTAATTTAAAGTTCTTAGTAACTATAGTCAAGGATGAGTTTATTTTCATTTCTAAATAAAAGTGAATGACTTAACTTTTTAAAAATGGAGGGAATGTTCTGAACTTGATTTTTAACTATACATTAGGAATTGAGAAGGCACAGGGAGATACGAACAGTGCTAAGCTAGTTGCTATAACTTTTCATGATACAGCCCAACATACTTAACCCTACTAAGTAGAATGATACTCTGTATTCTCACCTTTTTTCTGTGAGTTTTAATTTCAATAAAGAACTACTAAAGGAACTTTTTAAAAGATTATGCTACTAAACACAAATGTTCACAACTCCCCTCTAAGTACTATAAATATGTTCATATTTCAGCACCAGACTATCTGACAGAACAGAATCTAGCTCTAGTCCACTTGCCTTCAAAACCCATGAAGGCAAGAGTACCAGTGCTCTCTTAGGTGAGCCTGTTCACCAGAAGCCTGGAGGTGGCCTCTTAGAGAAGGGAGAGGAGCAGCACTGCCTGCAGCCTTGGGTGAAAGCAAACTAGCACACCCTGGCCCCCCATCCCTGTATGGCTGCTTCTGCAGTTCACCTCTTCTCACACATGGCGTCTGCTGCTTCTCTGGTTTATCTTTGTGGTGAAAGGTTCTTGCCTTCATTGAATGGTGGCTCTAATGGGCTACCTGACAGAGGCACCTGGGGCTTATTTGAGGTAAAGGGTTGTTTGAGCAGAGCCAGAGGACCCTAGAATTGGAATTCTTTTGTACTCTCCAAGGACTATCACCTGGAGACCCTCAGGCAAGTGCAATTCTTTTAGTTTAAGACTTCCCCAACTGGGAAACTTCTTTGCCCATTTAAGAGTATGAATTTCAGTGTCTTAAAGGAATTCATCAGCAGTCCCAAAGTGTCTCTGAGGTGCCACATAGAAATCACACATTAAGTGGCCTTCTCTCTCCCTATGCCCTGGGAACCTGCTACTTTTACAAAGTTAATTATTTGATGTGGGGTAAGCTAAGCTGTTTGGAACCCAGTTGATAATCAATTAGAAATAAATCAGGCACAGTGGCACACACCTGTAATCCCTTTCTGGAGGCAGAGGCAGAAGGATTGCAAATTAAGGCCAGCTTATGAAACTTAATAAGACCCTGCCTCAACATTAAAAAAATAAAAAGGGCTGGGAATATAGCTCAGTGGTAGAGTACCTCTGGGTTCAATCCCCTGTATCATAAGAAAAAAAGAAAAAGAAATACAAAACGGCTATGAAATGTTAAATAAATTTTATCAATGGAAAATAAGATTTAATTTACAAAGAGAAATTCCACAACTTTTCAGAATTATGTATTTTCTGCAAAGTGCTATAGTAGTTAAGAACATGGGTCTTGGATTCAGAGACCTATAGATTTAAACTTTTGGGCTGTGTGCCATTAGACCAATAATTTGGCTTTTCTGAATTTAAATGTTCTCATCTATAAAATGAAAATAATAATATCATCCAAGGATTAAATGAGATAATTTTGGAAAGCAGCATAGTACCTGCCATATAGTAACACCCTAGTATTAGCTATTACTGATATTATAGCTGAGTGAAACTAATTATCCATTCTGAGTGTTTGTGATCTTCAAAATCCATTCTTGTAGCTTCCATTTGATTTTGATATTGAAACAGCACTAATGAAGTATCCTGTGAGATATGAAGAGAGCATGAATACTGTGTTAGTACAAGAAATGGAACGATTTAACAAGTAAGTATCTATATCTCCAGCAATTCAGAAGGCAAGCCACCAAAATTGATAAAAAGACATGCTGGTATTGAATAAAAAATTTTAAGATTATCAAAACCTCCCATTTAAAATTTTGACCTTTTAAAATTTCATAACCTTTTGCTCCAGAAGATAGAGTATCTTTTATAATGTAAAAATAATGATGAAAAAGAAATATATTCTTACTGATTAAAAATATTCATTAATTGTAACTTCTCATCTATTATTATTCTCCTCAGGAATTAAAGGGAGAATGAACATTAGTAAGGCCTATGTATAGGCATATCTTCTGTTGTTTTTCTACCACCTGACACACATTTACTGAGTGCAACCTAAATTGATTAAGTACTGCATGATAATAAACAAATTATTTGCTTTTAATTTTTTAATTGAATATTCTACTGGATTAAGGAATGGTGAATTGTTTTGGTTATACATTTTCTAAAGTGTTTCCAAGTTTATTATAGTTTCTATACGTATTGACACTTTAAAGTAAAATATATTAAAATACTGTGTTACCCTATTTAATTAGTTATTTCTTATACAAAGGCTATAGTTATTTATTTATAATAGCATGCTGTCCCCCAGTTTCTCAGACATCTATACTCACTACAAGTATGTTTACGGTTTTCTTACCTGTTTGGATTGAAGTGGGAAACAAAATATTTGCCAGGGTATAAATGAATATATAATTTGTTTTAATGTATTGTTTCCCTAGTTTCAGCTGTTATATAACATCTTTTTAACTTCTCCCATATTTGCATGTTACTTGTAGTATTATTTGCCTAATATTTTCCCTTAAATAATTCTCCTTCTAAATTAGCTGGGTTCTGCCAAAGTGGTCTATAGATTTATTGCAACCCTATCAAAAGTTCGTATCGCATCCTATAGATATAGGAAAAAAATCTTAGGTGGGTGCAATGGTGCATGCCAACATAATCCCAGCATCTTAGGAGACTGAGGTAGAATGATCACAAGTTCAAAGCCATCCTAAGCAACTTAGCAAGACACTCAGCAACTTAGTGAGACCCTGTCTCAAAATAAAAAGGGCTAGTGTTGTGGCTCAGCAGTAGAGGGGTCACCTAGTATGTGTAAGGTGCTGGGTTTGATCCTCAGCACCACATATAAATAAATAAATAAATGTATTGTGTCCAACTACAACTAAAAAATATTTTTAAAAAGGGGGGGGCTGTAGTTAAGCACCCCGGCACCAAAAAAATAAAATAAAATAAATTCATATGGAATCACAGAATACCCCAGATAACCAAAGCAATCATGAGCAAAAAGAACAAAGCTGGAGGGCTGGGGTTGTGTTTCAGTGGTAGAGCACTTGCCTAACATGTGTGAGCACTGGGTTTGATTCTCAGCACTGTATATAAATAAATCAATAAAGATCCATCAACAATCAAAAAAAGAAAAGAACAAAGCTGGAGGCATCACACTACCTGATTTCAACTATATCACAAGGCAGTAGTAATGAGAACAGCATAATACTGGCATAAAAATAGACATAGTGATCAGAGGAACAGAATAAAGAATCCAGAAAAGAACTAATATGTCTATGGTCATTGGTTCTTTAAAAGCTGCCAATAATATACAGTGGATAATGAGAGTATCTTTAATAAATGGCATTGGGAAAAAACATACATATAAATCTATGTGCATGTATATATATACATATGTATATATATACGCACAAAAGATGAAATCGGACCTCACGTTACATACAAAAATCAACTCAAAGTAGATTAAAGACAAGACCTAAAACTGTAAAACTACTAGAAGAAAACATAGGAAAAACTACACAACATTGGTCTGGGCAATGATTTTTTAGAATTGGCCGCACAATTGTGGGCAACAAAAGCAAAATAGACAAACAGAATTTCAAAATAAAGATTCTTCATATTAAAAGAAACAATAGACACCAAAGTGCACACCTGTAATCCCAATAGGGGGAGGTGGAAGCAAGAGGATCACAAGTTCAAGGCCAGCTTCAACAACTTATCTCAAAATAAAACATGAAAAATGGGCTGGGGATGTGGTTGAGTGTTAAAGTGCCCCTGGGTTCAATCCCTGGTACCAAAAAAAAAAGGAAGACAAAAGATAACAAGTTCCGGGGAAGATGTGGTAAAAAGAGAACCCTGAAACATTGGTGGTGGGGATATAAATTAGTAAAACCATTATGGAAAACTATATGAAGTTTCCTCAAAAAACTAAAAACAGAATTACTATGTGTTCCAACTATCCTACTTCTGAGTGTTTATCCAAAGATTTGAAATCAGCATGTCAAAAAGACATCTGCATTCTCATGTTCATTGCAATACTACTGACAGTGGCCAAGTTTTGGAATCAAACTAAGTGTCAATAAAGAAATGAATAAATAAAAAAGATGTGATATATATTGATATATATATATATATATATGTACATATATAGTATGTACACACATACATAGTGAAATACTATTCAGTCTTTTAAAAAAGAGAAGAAATTTTGTCATTTGTGATGTATTTGGAGAATATTATGCTAATTAGTCAAACAGAAAGATACTGTATGTTCTAAATCATGTGTGGAATCTAAAACAACTGAATTTATAGAAAGAGTAGAATGATAGAAAGAGAGTAGAAAGATGCTGGGTGGTGACAGAATAATGAGATGAGAGTCAAAGGGTATAAAACCTCAGAAATAAGTTTGATTTTTTTTAAGATCAGTAGCACAACATGCTGAATATAGCTAATATTGAATACCATATAATTTAATATCACTAAGAGTAAATTTCCAATGTTCTCATCCCAGAAAATGCTAAAGATTTGAGGTGACAGATGTTAATTAGCTTAACATATTCTTTCTACATTCAGTTAAAAAATCATAATACTATTTTGTACCCCACAGACCTATAAAACCATAATTTGTCAACAATCGCATTTTTTAAATTAGCTAAGTCCTAAGGAATAATAGAAAGCAAAAATTTTGATATGCTAATAGTACTATTTTCTATATTTGAAAATGTGTGTAATGATTAAAATAAAAAATGTTCATCCAAATATTACCTAAAATTACCTCACATAACCACCAGTGGGAGGTAGCCGCACTTTGGAAAACACTCCCACAAGGCAGTGAATGAGGTTCCTGCTATTTCTTCTTCTAGAAAGACTGTATGCTGATATTTATTATCATATATATGTTGATGATAAAATTTCTTTCATTGTAGTTTAATTACAACTATACATAACACTCTATGGGACCTTAAAAAAGCTATTAAGGGTGTGGTTGTAATGGATTCTGCGCTGGAGGCACTTTCTGGCAGCTTACTGGTCGGAAAAGTTCCTGAACTATGGGCCCAACGATCATACCCAAGTCTTAAGCCCCTAGGAAGTTACATCACAGATTTTCTAGCCCGACTGAAGTTTTTACAGGTAAAATGTGGTTTTATTTATAAAAATGTGTGTATATGTATATGTATGTGTGTTTGTGTATGATATGTATATATTTTTGGGGGGGTTGAATGGGAAGATATTAGTAGTTGAGTACAGTCACTTTAAAGTCTCTGAGTTGAATGGAACGTGATTAGTAGCTTCATGGCAATCTAACCAAAAATTTTTAAACAATAGTTTTGTAGTTGTAGATGGACAGCATGCCTTTATTTTATTTTATTTTTTAATGCAGAGCTAATGATCAAACCCAGTGCCTCACATGTGCTAGGCAAGCGCTCTGCTACTGGGCTACAGCCCCAGCCCCTAACCAGAATTTTAGAATACTGAAAAATATACACATTTCAAAGTACTGAGTAGAAAATTTAAATTTTGCTTTAGCCAAACCTAAGTCATGTGTGATATTTATATTTCTGAAGATTCTAAGTTTGTGGTTCTCTGAGACCACAGTTTAATATTATCTTATGATTTTAATACCTATGTAAGTTACAAAAATAAAAAGCCTAAGGCTTGGATTTATCCATAATTGTTCATTGCTTTAAAATCAATGCTTCTTGGGCTGGGGATATAGTTCATTTGGTAGAGTGCGTGCCTTGCATACACAAGGCTCTGGGTTCAATCCCCAGCACCACCAAAAAATAAATAATAATAATAATGCTTCTTATCTCCTATCTCATTAAACTAGGGGAAAGATAAGTGCTTTGAATCTCCCCCATATACCCATATACCAAGATGTTAAGAGCACAGGAAAACAGAAGGCAGGACACTGTTTTTCCTCCTCAAACTCCCTTGCTTACCCCTAACCTATGGTTGATATTTATGCAAAAGTATAGGGTGGAGAGAATCCCCAAAATACTCATTTAGAAATTCACAAGTGTTATATGAGCTTTTAGTGTTGCAGTGCTGTTAGTCAACTTCTGTTACTATAACAAAATACCTGAGTTAAATAACTTAAAAGAAGAAATATTTCTTTTGACTCATGATTTCAGAGGTTTCAGTCCATGTTTGCTTTGGACCTATGGCAAGGCAGAATATCATGGTGCAAGAGTATGCTTACTTCATGGAGGTCAGAAAGTGAGAGAAAGAGGAAGAGGCAAGGGGCCAAATAGCCCTTTCAGGGGCATGCCCCAAGTGACCTAACTTTCTCCACCACTTCCCAAAAGTGCCATCAGATGGGAACCAAACCTTCAACACATAAGATTTGGGGGTACATTTAATATCTAAATCATAACAGTTCCCTTTTTATTATACAAAAATTTCATTTGTTTCACTGTTAAAGCTTATCATAAAATAAACAGTGCTTATTAGGATATGGAGAAAACAGATTTTCTCATATTTCCTTTTAAAAATTTTTCCAATCTGATAGGTCAAGCATACCTTGTTTCAATTTGACTTTCTTGGACTATTAATGTGCCTGTGTTTCTTTCAGTACATGTGCTTACCTCTTGTATTTTTTCTGTAAATGGCCTATTCATACCCAGGCCTATCTTTATTATGAACTATTTTTTAACTTAGAGGAGCTTTTTGTGCATATTACATGTTTAACCAAAGAAACAGTATAGAATAGAATACTGAATAGGTTTCCTCCATTGTCCTTTTACCTTTACAGAACCCAGTCAATTTTCTCATTATCTTTCTCCTGGACTGTCTTTCATCTCCTAATGTTTCTTAGAGTTGAAAAATTAAGTAAATAAGTCATCTGAATTTTTTTCCTCTTCTCATTTTTCTTTCTCCATTTATCCTGTTTATCTTCTGTCATAGTTCAGGCTGTTGTAAAAAGTAAAGTAGACTGAATGATCTAACAACAGACATTTATTTCTCACTGTTCCGGAGGGGCTAGAAAGACCCATATTAGGGGGTTCTCCTGGTTCACAGATGTATGTATGTGGGGCAAGTGCTTGTTCCTCTAAATAAAGATACTAAACCCATCAAGAAGGTTCCACCCAGGTGGGGAGGGGTGAGACCATGCTGGGGACTGAATTGGAGACGGTTGTGTTCCATGCTTTTGTGATTATGTCAAGATATATCCTGGTATTGTATATAACTAAAAAGAAATTTTCAAAAAACCATATGAAAAAAAATAAAGGGTTCCACCTTCATGACCTAATTATCTCCCAAAAGTGCCATCTCCAAATCCCATGATATTGGAGGTTATAGTTTCAACACATGTACTTTGGAGGAAAACAAACATTTAATTCATAGTATTTTCCCTTTTTCATTCCTGTGCCTTTTTTTAAAAAAAAAAATTTTTTTCACAACCCCAGGAAAAATTCTGGATCTGACATTTGTGACTTTGAGCAAATTATTCATCTTTCTGTATCCTAGTTTTCTCATCTGCAAAGTGAGAGGAATAATGCCTAACTCACTGAATTATTTTATGGAGTACACCAGGTGATACATGTAAAGTGCTTAGCACAGTGCCTGGCATGTACTAATCACTCATTAAATGGTAGCTAATTCAGAGATAGTGTAAGTAGCCGACCAAAGGCACTAATGAAATTCTTCATAAAGGAAGCTCTGGGAAAGTAAGAGTTTCTATATCCTTGTTTTCTCGGTTTGTTTGTTTGCTTGCTTGATTGCTTTTGTTTTATATTAATGGGAATTGAATCCAGGGATGTTCTTCCACTGAGCTACATCCAAGCCCTTTATATTTTCTATTTTGAGACAGGGTCGTGCTAATTTGCAGAGGCTGATCTTGAACTTGTGATCCTCCTCTCTCAACCTCCCAAGTAGCTAAGATTCCAAGTGGGCATAACTGTGTCTGGTGCCTTCTCAGTTCTTAGAGCTTTCATGTGCATAGTATCATAAAGAAAACCCTGGATACAAAAGGTTCTTCCTGCCTTTTGCCCTTGTCAGACTCCTTGTCTTTCTTTACCTCTTTTTGATCTGCTAGCTTGTGCTGTGGTATTATCTCCACCAGCAGTTTGTTCCATTATTCCTAGCATGCAAAGCTTACTTCTTCCTTGCTCACTAACAGAGTTCATTGTATTGATTCATCTGTTCATTCAGCAAATGAATTGAGATCCCACTCTGTTCAAAGCACCTTGTTGTTTGCTCTGTGATAAGAAGAGGATTGTAATGAGTCCTGCCTTCAAGCTGCCAATAGCCCACAGAAAAACAAGCTTTGTATCCAAAAAAATACAGGCAAAAATTAACATAGTTTAGAAAGGAATGAACCCTAAAAGACCAACATATAAAATGCTCTGGGAGTTCAAAGGAGGAGAGAGTTCTTATGGTTCAAAAAAGCAGAGTTTAGTTGGGTTTGGTGGCACACACCTATAATCCCAGCAGTTCAGGAGGCTGAGGCAAGAAGATCGTAAGTTCAAGCCTAAGCAACTCAGCAAAACCCTGTCTCTAAATAAAATACAAAATAGGGCTGGAGATATGACTCAGTGGTTAAATGCCCCTGGGTTCAATCCCCAGTAACACCCCCTAGACCCCCACAAAAAGCAAGCAAGCAAACAAGCAGGGTATTTTTATGGATAAGGTAGCATTTGAGCTGGGTCTAAAGGATGAAAGGTTGTGCATATTGCAAAGAAAATAAACAGACTTACAGACAGCTTTGTAGCTGTGGGGTAAAAGGATCTGTATCATTTAAGGTACATTTCATCGGAAGAAACAAAAATTCTGTCATAAGCAGAAAGTTTGTTTGTTCATGTAACTGAAAAGTCCAAGAGTTAAAGTAACTTCAGGTAGGATTTGAACTGAGTTACAAACATGGTTACTTGTTCTTGGCTTTGTGCATTTCATCTCCTGGTTCTATTACCTTCGGTTTGACTCCATTATCAGTATCTCATCTGTGGCAAGATAACAACAATAACTGTGGCCTTGCATCTTTGCAACTTCAAAGAGTTAAGAGCGAGTCTCTTCCTGAAAAGTCCCAGCAAGAGTTACTGCATCTCTGGCTTTGGTTGGGTCACATTCCCATTCCTGAATCAGTCACTGTGACTTGAAGTATGATTGGCCAGATATGAGTCAGTGCCCACCACAGGAGGCTACGTTGATTTCCATCACCAGAAGGGCTTGGAATGAGAATATAGGAGGGTTTGTTTGTCTTCCTGAGAGAAAGAAGGGTGGTATTATTTTAACACAGGCAAGAAAAAAAAAATGTTCACCCAGCACAGATGAGATCACCAAATAATCCAGTCTAATTAGGATGTAGGATGCTTGAAGGTAAAAAAAAAAAAAAAAAAGCTAAAAATGCACTTGGGGTGAGATTGTGAAGTGTGTTGAATAAAAGACTAAGAGACTTGGGCTTTAAGTTGGTGGGTCACTAAAGAACTTGGTAGGTAACTGAAGAGTTACCTATATGATAAATCTGATCCAAACTATGTATAGTCAGGTATATTCTGGCAGCATTGTTCTAGACGTATTGAGCAGAGAGAAAAAGAATACAGTAAATTGATATAAAAGAAGATCATGAATATCTGAACAGAAGGGGTACATGGTTATGGAGACAAAGGGATTAAAAGAATTAAGGAACTAGAAGCAACACAGAAAGGCTATGGACAATGGGTAAAATATAAAAAGATGGTGGCTTTTGAATAGGATAAGTAATATAGTAGTCTTCAAAGAATTTACATTTGTTTCTTTGCAGAAGATTTGAAATTTTCAAGCCATGTTTCATTCAGATAATTGTTCAAATTATTTTCAGTTTCCAAGAAGAGTAAGTGGAGGGGGACGGAAAGGAAAAAGGTGTGTTTGATGTTAGGGAAGAGAGTCTTATGCTGGAAAGTATAGGTAACACATATAAAAATCAGAATCAGGAATTGTATGTTAGCTGACATTTGTATAAATTTAAAAAGTGGACATAACATATTTTGTTTTCCATTTATAGGACTGGTATACTTCAGGAAAACCTCATGTGTTTTGGCTCTCAGGTTTCTTTTTCACCCAAGCCTTTTTAACTGGAGCTATGCAGAATTACGCCAGAAAATACACCATCCCTATTGATTTACTAGGATATGAATTTGAGGTACAGTAACTCCTTCAACTCATCAAAATATCATTATATCAAAGTCATGTATTTAAGCAAGAAGGATATGTAGAATTTATATATTTTAACCCATTATAAGCAATTCTACTTCTTTTCATTCTTTGTGTTTCATAAAGTATATGATATTTGTCTTGTTAATGAACTATAGTTTAACAAGAGTTTCCCTGAATGTGTTTTGAATATGTATCTAGAGTTTTCTTTATGATACTAAATTGTGTGAAGAATACTAGTATGACCCTCTCCCTTCAGGTTATTCCTTCTGATGTATCTGACACATCACCAGAAGATGGTGTTTATATCCATGGCTTGTATCTTGATGGGGCACGCTGGGACAGAGAAAGGTCAGTACTTTCAACTGCAAAGCCTTCTTCAAATGTGGGTGAATCATAGGTAAGACAACTGTTGCCCCTCACAACCGTGTTTTTTTTTTAATCAAAGTCCTCTTTCTAAGTAATAAGTCAAGTAATATAATATCAGAATTCTTACCTAAATCATTATTCGGATTGGCACAAAGGAGTGATTATTTTTGAGGCCCAAACAATTTTTGATTAATATTTCACTAGTCTGTCTCATTAGTAAAAAAGTTAGCTGAAATTATTTTCTTGCTTATTCTGCTGTATAACAGTTATTTTCTATTTTGTACTGTGAAGAACTGACTCAATTTTAAACTGACAGTTATAATAAAGTTCCCATTTAGTGAGTGGAAAACTTTTTCATGCATTTTGATGAGATGATAAATAAGTATTAAGAATAAACATTCAATTTCTAGCTTCACTCTTAGAAAACTATCAGGAAACTATTCCCAGTTTCAGATAAATAGGGATAAAAGAGAAGGGGAGAAATATTTCTTTGGAGCCCTGGTCTCCAACAATATATGTATAGGCATAATCCTCTATTTCTGAATGTAGGGTAAGACTTTGCTCCCAAGGAGATGTTAAAGGGGATATTAAAGACTGAGGTGAAAGACCAAGGTAGGAAAAATCCCATAGGAGGGAATAGTAAGGTAAGGTTTTACAGTGACAGTTCTGAAACAGGATCATGAGAAGATTCAATTTCACATAGTTAATTTGATTATTTCTCTTGTCTTTTTTCATCACTTTACTGCTATTTTTCTTCATTTACTTTACCACCTTTGTGTATTTATTTTTTCTTCTTCCTTCCTTTCCAACAAACCATGTAGACTGAGTTTTTGGAACATCTGTTTAAATCTTGATCTAGCACTTAATAGCTGTGTAACTGAGAAAAATACTCAATATCTCTGAGCCTATAGTTTTTATCTGTGAAATAGGAATATAAATGGGGATAGGATCATTATGAGGGTCAAATGTGATGCATTGTATCTGCCTCATGGGAGGTACTTAAAAATATGCAGGCATTAAATTGGTGCAACCTTTATGAAAAGCAGTAGGGAGATTCCTTAGAAAACTTGGAATGGAACCACCATTTGACCCAGTTATGCCACTCCTTGGTGTATTCCCAAAAGACTTAAAAACAACATACTACAGTGATGCAACCACATCCATATTTATAGCACCTCAACTCATAGCCAGGCTATAGAAACAACTTGGTGTCCTTCAACAGATGAATGGATAAAGAAAATGTGGTATATGTACAAATGGAATATTGCTCAGCCATAAGAAGAATGAAATTATGGCATTTGCCAGTAAATGGATAGAACTAGAGAGTATTATACTAAATGAAATAAGCCAATCCCAAAAAACCAAAGACCAAATGTTATCTCTGATTTGTGGATGCTAACCCCAAACAAGGGAGGTTGGGAAGAGGAATAATAGAAATAGATTGGACTAGACAAAGGGTAATGAAGGGAAGGGAGGGAAAGGGGAATATGAAAGACAGTAGAATTAATTGGTCATAAATTTCCTAGCCTGTATATGTATACAAAAACCAGGGTAACTCCACATCATGTATGACCACAAGAGTGGGAACCTAATAGAATAACTTATACTTTGTATATGTATATTCTGCCAAAATACATTCTACTGTCATGTATAACTGAAATATATATATATATATATATATATATATACATATATATATATATATATGAAGCAAAAACAAAAAAATCTCATTGTACCTCATAAATATATATAAATATTATATAAATCAAAAAAATTAGGGGCTGGGGATGTGGCTCAAGCGGTAGCCCGCTCGCCTGGCATGCGCGGGGTGCTGGGTTCGATCCTCAGCACCACATAAAAATAAAGATGTTGTGTCCACCAAAAATTAACAAATAAATATTTTTTTAAAAAATTAGAAAGTTTAAAAAATAGTTAGATATAGCCAATGTCCATACCAACTAACTTCAAGTAGGGCGAATAACAAAACAAAATTTTTATGGTATAAATTATTTTTCTGACAAATATCCACTTCTATTTTAAATGAGCAAAAAACAAAGAAATAAAATTTGAAGGAACCATTAATAAACCTAGATCTTGATCCAGTTTTTTAAAAAATTAGCAGGCATTGATATTTGTGCAGTTTTATACTTCACCTTTCTAAAATTGTATTTTATTGCTCTCAGTTCTTCATTGCCTTCTCCCACCCTTCTCCTACTTTTTCTTCTTCTTTTCCTTTTATACTCTTTTCCTCTCTATCACTGGTCCTCTTCTATATTAAAAGTCAATATCTAAATAGCAGTCTATTTTAAGAAGCAAATTTCACAAATACGTTAGCTTTTCATTGCTGTAACAGATTACCTGAGATAAACAACTTAAAAGGAGATGGATTTGTTTTCATTTATGGTTTCAGAGGAGTCACTTGGCTTCCCTGATTATGGGCCTGCAGTCAGGCAAACACCATAACAGGGAGCATGAGGTAAAGCAAAGCTCACCCTAACGCATCCAGAAAGCAGAGGAAAAGAGAACATGCACTGTGAGAGGAAGGGACCAAGGACAAAATGTACTATACAGAGTCTTTCTCCAAGTGACTTACTTCCTCCAACTACGCCTCATCTCCTGGTAGAGCCACAGGCCAGCATCCAAGCCATTAGTACATGGCCTTTGGGGGACATTTTAGATCTAACGAAATAACTAATAACTTCTGTTAATTTCTCGTTACAGTGGCTTGCTTGCTGAACAATATCCCAAACTTCTGTTTGACCTGATGCCCATCATATGGATAAAACCAAGTAAATACATTTTTAACAAAATTTCCTTGGATTTTAAAGAGAATAATGATAGATACTATTAACTGCTCCCCCAAATTAATTTTTGCTCAAGTCTTTTAGGATCTAACTGAATTATAATATAAAATGATGAAATATCTGTAATGGAGAATATATTGTCCCTCTGCCTTTTTGGTTGTTTTTTTATTTGTATTTTTTTCAATCCTGTGGACGAAACTTAGGGCCTCATGCATGCCAGGCAAATGCTCTGTCACTGAGCTACACCCCACCTCTAATTTTCTTGATCATAATTAATAATAAATAAAAACATTTACAAATCACCCAATCTATCAAATATTTTCATTATTAATGTGGTTCAATTGTGAGAAATGTCTGTAGTTTATAAGGGCTCCTGATATTTCATATCTGGCTTTTCAGGAATTATACATAGATTCTTTTTGTGAGTTGTCAAGAGTTGGTGTGTTTTAGTGTTTGTTTTAGTAGCCTGCTAAAAACAAATAGAAACTTCAGCTTCTTCTAAATTATGTGTTTCTTATACCAGAGTTCTAAGCAGTTTATTTCTCCTTTTGAATGTCCTCTATTACCTATACTGTATTTTGCCCCTTCTTCCCTATCTTCTTTTGTCCCTTCTTCCCTATCTTCTTTTGTTACTCCTTCCCTCACAAATTCTCTGGAGTTTTTTCATGCCTATTAAGTGATCAGAACTTTAAGATCAGTTCTTGGTTCCTAGACTTGCACCATCTGAAATAATTTTCTTGTTTTATAGCAATAATAATGGACCAGCTGTTAAAAATTTTAAAATTACATTTTACTATAAGATAAACAGTTGTTTTTCAGTACCCATGGCTCTTCTCCCTTTACTAAATGAATCTCTTTCTTTCTTTTTCAAGTTGAAAAGACTAAGATTGCGAAGTCAAATGCCTATGTCTGTCCTCTCTACAAGACAAGTGAACGTAAAGGAACTCTTTCTACTACAGGACATTCCACTAACTTTGTCATTGCAATGTTGTTAAAAACAGACCAACCCACTCAACACTGGATCAAACGTGGTGTTGCTCTGCTTTGTCAGCTGGATGACTAAATTGTACAATTTTAGAGAACATCTGAAATAAAATAAAATTGTTTTCACTTATTTTAAAAAAAATTATAAACAAAATGTCTTGGTGTCATTCTTTCAAATGGTCTTTATGAAAGGCCTTTGCATTGTTATCCTTTTCCTGATTCCACTCTTGATTGCAAAAGGCCTTCTAATCTGACTCCTCTGAGAGCACTGTCAGACATCTACCTGTGGAAAGAAATTTTGAAGTGTTATTTTAAAGTGTTACTTTGAAGTGTTTGGAAAATCTTAGAGTTTTTATTTAGTTTAAGTTTGATATGTATATGTGAAAAATAGATTGGGGAGATTAAATGATAAAATTTGACTAATATTAGAAGATATTCCTTTTCCTAGATATTTCTTCAATAGTAGTTTACTTTCCACATGCCTCATTGAAGTTATTATATATGAACATTTTAAATACATATAGATAAGGAAAATATTAAAGCAATTTAGGAACCAAACCCTTACTTCATACTTTTAAAATATTAGTTCCATTTCTCAATGGAACACAAAAGCAGTAAGACGACTGTTGGGGAATCTCAGATTCTATACCCCCACAGTGGTGTTTGCTTCATATTTAATTGGAAATGTCAAGTGATCCTATTGTTATTTTCAATAGTTAAATATTCTTATTATTTAGTATGTACTCATAATATTAGTGTACATTGATTTTAACAATGAAAATATTTTAACACAAAATTTTAATCAAAACCGTATCATCTTCTGTAGAGTTAGTTCCTTCCTGTGGATTCCAAGTACACTTCAGGCTTCAGGGTTTTTTGTTTGTTTGTTTGTTTGTTTGTTTGCTTGTTTTGTTTTTAATATTTATTTAGTTGTATATGAACACACAGTATATTTATTCTTATATGGTGCTGAGGATTGAACCCAGTACCTTACACATGTGAGGCAAGCACTTTACCACTGAGTTACGGCCTCAGCCCCTCAGGCTGCAATTTTATAACCCAAGGAAAATGTAGGTACAGCTACCCAGTCAATTTGGACCACTGAAAAGTCACTTTAGATAATGTAAAATGTTTGACCTCTCTTAAATAAAAAATTAATTCTTGTTTGTAGTGGCTATGTGCATGAGCCATAAGGGAATGAGTTCTCTTTGCATCGCTAACCCTCTGCAAATGCTGTTTATTCCAGAAATAAGATGTTTAATCCTTTAAGTTTGATGACTCTAGTAGAGAAGAAAAAGAGATCATGTTTCTAAACAGAGCTAAACTACATGTAAAAAAAAAAAAAAAAAAAAAAAAAGCAAGGACAATGTGCCAGACTGTCTTATGATCAAGTATTTATAGTAAAGCTATTTATAATAATCCTTACAGGGGAATGGATCCTAAATATAAATGAAAATCTTGAAGCGTTCATGTGCTAATCCTTAACAGTGAAAACTTCAGTACCGACCTAGAGGATATAAAGTCTTTGGTATGTGATCAAACCTGTTCTATACTAAAACAGTAATGCTCTTTTAAACTACATTGCTTTTACTACCACTATTTACATGTTGTATTAAGACAGTACTATTAGTCCTATAACATGTTTATTTTTATTTTTTACCAAAGAAAATATAGCTTTCAGTATAATACTGTGTGTAGGAAATGTGTTCTTTTGGGTGAGTGCTGTAATATCTGAGAAAAACTGACAAGGCAAGTCTAAAATATATCAAACAACATAAGCATTTTCAAGTTACCATGGCATTGACCTAAGTCTTATATGAAAGGCTGTTTTCCTAAGTTTTAAGTAAATGGTTACTCATAGAGACTTCTAATTTATGCTGAATATGTGGCAGTCCAGAAAACTATTTTAAGTTTATGGAAAAAAAATTTAAATGAACATTTTGTTTTTCTAAGTTTTGCATTTTCTTTGTTTTTCAATCTTGTCAACTTTCTAGTTTTCTAAATTTCACTTCTAAATTCAAGCAGTTGGTAATCTTTTCACAACTGGAAAAATATTTTTAATTCATTCTAACTTTAAACCTGCTTGAGTTTCACATGGATAATTACGTCAGTGATGAAGACACAGACAATGACTTGGACACCCAGCTCACCATTCAGCAGAGTTTACAGGATATTTACAAGCCAGGAACAACCCAACATGCACCTGATGAGAGGTAATGGCTTTCTCATTGGCAGTGTGGTATTAAGTATTCAACAGTTGAGATTGTCATTAACATAACTCTACTATTGTGATGAGAACAGGAGAGAGATTTGGAATACAAGGAATTTTATTTAAATTTTATATTATTTCATTTTACTTTTATGTTGGGATCAAACCCTTGATGGGGTAGAGTTCTGCCACTTAGCTTCATCTCCTAGACAGGATCTGTCACTTAAATATGAAAAAGATATGATATCTGACCAGACCAAAAAAAACTTTGAAAGAATTCAGAATTTAATTAATCAGTAAAGACAACAGTTGAAGGAGATTAGCTGGAAATCTAGGCAAGGAGATGCAGTCTAGAAATCAGAAGAAATAAATGAGGTTTCTGAAGGGTTAGAGAAGAACTCTAACACATCTTGTTCTCATGGAGCTAAAGAAATACATAAGTCCAACCAAGACACATAGAGAATTATTTTACTGAGATAGGTGAGGATAGAGTCCAATCTTTGATCTATTCAAATCAAAAGGAGGAATTATGTAAATTTAACCTTTCTGAAGATATTGATTCTATTACTACAATAGTAGAAGAGGACCAGTGGCTCTCTCAGTGGTAAGAATCTCCCTGGATATGAGCAGTTCATGGTCAAGTGCACCTAGTCAAATGCTCTCTTGGATGATCAGCTACTTCAGCCCACTAAGGTAGAAACCATTGTTTTTGGGGGTGGGTAATAAACCCAGTTTGCTTGGATTTGTGACCCCTCTTTGGCCTGCTGGAGGTAAACTGGATAAATGTCTTTTAACCCCAAGAGATTTTATAATTAAATATGGAGATGATAAAGTACAACAAACATAATTTTTTTAAAAATGTAACAAATTCATGGCACCATCACTATGTGTCATTCTATTTTAAGCACTTTGTAAATATTAACTCATTTAAATTCTAATTCTCACTGCTTCTCTGTGAGATGGGTACTCTTATTATCCTCATTTAGAAATAAGCAAATTAAGTGACTTACTCAAGGTCACAGAGCTCATTAAATGAGGAGCCAGGCAGCCTGACTCCAGTCTGTGCTCTTAACCACATGCTTTTTCTATACTTCTGTGTCTACTTTAGGAATAATCTTTAAATATTTAAAGTTTTGTAAAGAAATTAGGCTTATTAGGTTATCTCTCATAACTTTGTGATTAACATTTTAAAACATATAATTGCATAACTGAACACCTAATTTAATGTTGAAAGATATGATATTTAGTCTGAGAGTACTGAAATATTTCAGAGAAATTGAAATTGTAGTTATACATTTCATTTATTAGACTTGCAAGAACTGTGTGATACTTAGGAAGGATTGCTGATTTGGTCAGGCACTGGCAGGAATTAGAAAACCAGAATATACTTATGTCATGTAGAATAATGGCTCCACCCAAAGATGCCCATGTTCTGATTTTTTTTTTTTTTTTTTTTTTTGGTACCAGGGATTTAACCCAGGTGTGCCTAACCACTTAGCCATATTTCCAGCCCCTTTTTATATTTTATTAGAGACAGGGTCTTGCTGAGTTCCTTTGGGCTTCACTAAGTTGGTGAGATTGGGTTTCAACTCGTGATCCTCCTGCCTCAGCTTCCTGAGCTTCTGGGATTACAGGTGTGCACCACTGAGCTTGGCTCATGTCCTGATTTTTTGGAACCTATGAATGTGTAACCTTACATGGAAAACAGGAAGTAAGGTTACAAATAGAATTAAGGTTGCTTATCACCTAATTTTTATATAGAGAAATTCGCCTAGATTATCCATTTGTATCCAAACAAAGTGAAAGAGGCACGAGAACCTGAGAGTTGTCAGAGAAAGGGCTTAGCCCAACAATGATGGCTTGGAGGAAGGAGGAAAGAATCTGTGAGCCAAGAATATAGGAGGGCTCTAGAAGTTGGAAAGGCAAAGAAACAGATTCTTTCTTAGAACCTGCAGAAGGAACATAGTTCTGCCAATACTCTGATTTTACTCCAGAGAAAGCCATTTTGGATTTCTGAATTACAGAACTTTAAGATAATAAATGTGTTGTTTTAAGCCACCAATCATGTAGTAATATCTTAACACAGATATGGAAAACTAACAGAATTGAGTGGTGTAAAATGTTTAAGAAAATTTAATCAACCAAATTGAGAGTATGACAGATTGTCTAAGGGAATTTATTTTCATTGAATTATGAAAGAAAATGGGAAGAGGACAATATATAAAATTCATATATTTAACTCTAAAGCTTTAAATATTTTAATAAAAACATTTAAACTGCTAATAGTGTTTATATATATGTATGTATATATATATATATATATATATACACACACACATATATAAAGAGAGTTGTGTATGTGTATGTGTGTGTGTATATATATATACACACACACATATACATATATAGATGACAGGGATGAAAATAAATTCCCTTAGACAGTCTGTCATTCTCAATTTGGTTGGTTAAATTATCTTAAACACACACACACACATACACACACACATATATATATAAGTTGTAGATGGGCACAGTACCTTTATTTTATTTATTTATGTGTTACTGAGGATCAAAACCAGTGCCTCACATATGCTAGGCAAGCACTCTACTACTGAGCTACAACCCCAGCCCCACTAATAGTGTATTTTATATTCAGACCATGCATAGTTTAAAAATTCACAACCTGATTATTTACTATTCATATTTTTGCTAGAATCACAATATCGAGTGGCCATTAAATTTTGCCATGTGATAGTGTGATATTTTGTTCCCAGGCAAGTTTGAGTCAGGTTCAACACCACTGACTGAGATCCAGGCTGCCACACAGTCCTTTCCCTGAAGAAGCTAACGGCCTCATGAATACATGAGAAAGGAGTTTCCCTAGAATGTGGTAAAGACACACCACATTCTACAAATAGAAGTATTTCTTGTTTTGCTTTGTTATGGTGGTGCTTGGAGATCAAACCTAGGGCTGTGTACATGCTAGCCAAGTGCTCTATCACTCAGATATATCCCTGCCAGCACCAATAGAAATATTTCTATTTAGCCTCATTTTTTGTATGAGAGTTATCCCTGATTAAACTACTGCCTTTCCCTTTTCTTTTTGGTTTATATTAGATTCCTTAGTTTCCCCCTTAATTTTGGAATCACATATACATAATGTTTTTTTTTTCCTCTGCAGCTTTCATTCCTTTTTGAGTGCTTACTATAAGAAGATAATTGAAACAATAGAGACAGTTAAGTACTCTTTATACTCTCCCCTTGAATTTGTTTAAAATGTAATGGTGACAACTAGTAGCATTTTCTCTTCATGCTCAGGAAGCCTAGAAGCAGGTTCTTCCAAAAGCTGTGCCCTATGGAGGTCTGATGTGATTTTCTGAGAGAAAATTCTTTAGCACAACTTAGCAAAAGAGCTCCTGGGTTCCTCTATTGACAGAGATTTTTTTTTTTTTTTTTGGTATGTGGCAAGACATTGGGGGTGGGATGTTCATAGGCCCAGGTGTTGTGCAATGTTAGATAACAGGCCTTATTGTCTGTCCTGTGATATTTAAAAAAAAAAAAAAAAGGTGGCAATCTGATTGTTGTCTTATATACTACCTTTGGTGGTAGAATTCAGAAACAGTATGGGTTGCCTTGTATGTGTGTGAAATGTGAATCTGTTCTCATTTTTCTTGTTAATAGGTGAGGAAGATGCATTGTCACACTTAACCAAGTACCATTCTGCTTTTGATGAAGCAGATGGGATAGGGTGGACTCTCTTGCATAAGGCTGCAGTACAATTAAATAAGAACATTTTAGAAATAACCCTGAAAGGTAAACTCCCTTTTATTCTTCCTGATGCTTCTGAGAAATAAACTTAAAATTGGTTTTTGAATCTTAACCTATATGATATATGATGAATTTATTTCAGCTTCAAAAACCAGTGTATGGGAGCAAACCACCCATAATGGTGAAACACCACTTTTTCTGGCTGTCAGCAATTGCCTCTTAGAAAATGCCAGTTTTCTTCTTCTCAATGGCTGCAATCCAAATGCTAAGAATTTCGAAGGCAATTCTCCTCTTCTTACAGGTAAATGACTCATCTCTGGAGAAGAGTGTGCTGCTCTGTCTCCCCTATGCCAACAAGTTTCAAAGACAGCTCTTTGTGCACAGATGCAATACTGTGATCCCAGCTGACCAGACCCTCAAGAATCTTTCTATAGATTGGCTAATGAGGTGGCCTGATGCCCAGTTAGGAGCACATATACATTTTGATCCCAGCTGACCAGACCCTCAAGAAGCTTTCTATAGATTGGCTAATGAGGTGGCCTGATGCCCAGTTAGGAGCACATGCACATACAGAAAGGAACAGAGTCATGAAGCATAGGTGAAGGGCAGGCAGCTGAAATGGGAGGCTAGGCTAAAAACTATTAATCAGGAAGTCAGATATCTAGATTGCTTCTTCCACTCTGCCTGCTGAGACAGACTCCTCCCCAGCCCAGTAGAGTTCTGGAGGTTTATTCTTGAACAGCTTAAACAGAGGGTCTCTAGACCAGAGAATTTGGGTGAGCGTGGGAGTACTTAATTGAAAACACTGGAGGAATTAAGCAAAAAGACCCAACTCTCTTCCACAAGAAGGCATTCTCCCACCAGGATCCTAGAAAGCTGGCAGACAAGCCTTTATACTCTCCAGAAAGAGGATTCTCTGGAGAATCTGATCAGCCCAGGAAGATCTAAAGATAGTAACACTGGGGGCTCCCCCAACAAATGGCCCAAACATACGAACCAGTAGTGAAGCCCATAGTCTGCAAGCCCCACCCACCGTTTAGAATTTTCAACCAGAATAGTTGTCCAGGCTCTTACTCATGAGCAGATAACCAGACTATTTGAAGAAAGTCTTCAACATAGATAAATGACTTGGAAGAAGCAGATTATTTAGGAGAAATAAAATGTAAAGCAAATTATCATTAATTTCTTCAAAGAAATTAAAGAAATAAGAATAGGATAGTACAGGGCTGGGGTCGTGGCTCAGTGGTGGAGTGCTTGCCTAGCATGTGTGAAGCACTGGGTTCAATTCTCAGTACCACATATCAATAAATAAAATAAAGGTCCATCAACAACTTAAAACAATATTTTAAAAAAGTAGGATACTACAAAAAATCCAAGAATAAAACAAAAATGCTCTTGATATTAAAAACATCAAAACAAATTTTTTAAAAAAATAATGCTAGAAAATGAAGTTTAGGAAAGCTTTCAGAAGATAAGAAATGTAAAATAGTAAAGGAGAAATAAGAAAATTAGAAGGACAACCCAAGAGGAGCAATGTATGAATAACAGGAATGACAGATCAAATAAACAAGATGGAGGTACTCTATCATCAATAAAATAAGTCAAAATAATAATTTCCTAAAATAAGGGACATGTTGTTTCCAAAGTGAAAAAGCCAGCTGATGAATTCAAACAGACCCAACACAATCAGCACTTTTCTTCAGTATTAGAGCAATTAGAGCATTTTCATAGCACCTTATAAATAATTATTAACAGAATTCATACTGACTCAGTATCAGGCATCTAGTAAAATTCCATGAACATTTTGTGCTAAGAATTGGTGAGCTGGGCATGGTAGCACACACCTGTAATCCCAACAGTTCAGGAGGCTTAGACAGGAGGATTACTAGTTCAAAGCCAGCCTCAGCAAAAGTGAGGCACTAAACAACTCGGTAAGATCCTGTCTCTAAATAAAATACAAAATAGGGGTGAGGGGGCAAGGGAGGATTGGTGAATGAATAATGAGATGGGTAAGTTCAGGTGTTTTAGCATCTTGAGGAACCAAGAGTCATCATGCAAATGTGCAAGAACAGCATAAATGAAGAAGATGGTTATTAGAGAATTGTGGTTGACAAAATTGATCAAAAATAACTACCAAAAATTTATTATATGCATAATTAAACAATACAAGAAAAGATATGAAAATATTAACAAAGATTTTACCAAAGAGATGTGATTATGAGTCTTTCTTCTTTCTTTTCTGCATATCTAAATTCCCTGAACATGAACCTTTTTATTAAAAAAAAAAAAAGAAAGAAAAACATTTTTAAAAAGACCTACACCTGAGACAAAGAGAAGCTTCCAAAAGTTTCCTGAGAGAGAAAAAATTGGAAATATATCATATACAAAAGATAAAAGATCAAAATAGTTTTAGAGTTCTCAACAATAACTAGATGCTTGATGAAATTGATGAATAGTTTCAGAAGTTCTGAGGGAAAATTATTTTCAACTTAAATATTTAATTAAACTATTAAATCTGAAGGTAAAAACAAGATACATATTTTCAGACATGGAAGAACTCAAACTTTTCTCCCTCTTACACCATTAATGTGTTAATGATGTAGGATAGGTGAGGCTGGACTTAAGGAATTTTCAGGAAGCAGTTTGATTTTAGCTGTAGCAGTCCAGACAGGGCCCATGCCTAAAATTCTCTGGACCAAGAGTTTGGAAATTCTTTTAGATTTATACTCAGTGGGAAGATTACATGATAGTGGGTGGGGACATACTCTTTGTCCCATATTCTTAGGCCAGACAGAAGTTTTACAAGTTTGGTTTTTTTTTTCTGCAGACATGGCAGAAAGAGGAAGCTACAAACCACAATGCCCTCTGCAGAAATTTTTGCTGATATCCTGTTGACATCCTTTGTAAAAATCTTTCTGACAAGAGAAATATATTACAAATATTACAAATATATTACAAATATATACATATATTACAAATATGATGGGGGTCTCTGGTCTGCTTCATTAATGAAATAAATATCCTACCAACATGGAAGTGAACTTGAAATGTCAAAGCTAGGGATCCAAGAAATACAAGGTCCATCCCAGATAGTAGGCAAATGAGATCCCCAAGATGATGGGGAACAGTACTCCTAGGATGGCAACATGTTCCAGGCACTGAATTCCAGGTTAGAACAGGTCAGAGGGGCTAGATAAGGTAACACACACCTGTAATTGCAGGTGTGTAATCACAGGTTAAGGCAGGAGGATTGCAGGTTCTAGACCAGTCTTAGCAATTTAGCAAGAGTGTTGGGGATTTAGTTTAATGTATATATAAAAGAATAGGTTGAAAGATTGCAGGTGACCATGATGGAATTGGAATAAATATCTTGAGATTTAAGACAGTTTAGAAAGTCTCAGGTTGAATTAGTGATAAGCAAATTGAAAACTAAGCAAAGGCTGGGGGTAGAGTTCAGTGTAAAGCACTTTGCCTTGGCATGCAAACTGACTAGTGTTTAATCCCTAGCACCACACAAACAAACAAATTAGGTAAATGGAATGTAAATGTAAGGCTAGTATTAACTACAAGGAAAACAAAAGATGTATAGGAAAGGAAACATAATTAGGACCCAGCTTTTTGAATAGCAAATAAAATAAAAATAAGGTAAATACTGAATAGTTAACAAAAATTATATCATAAAAAGTACTAGAAGAATGGTGGGCTGAGAAATGTGAATGGTGAGCATAAGAGAAAAAAATCTTCATTTTCCATGAAAAGTCAAGTTAAATCAAAACCAAAAAAAAATTAAAAAGTGTTTTTATCTCCTGTTTCTCTTATTTAATTTTTACTTTTAAGTATTCCTTGACTAATTCTTTCAAAATTATTTTGTAGGTAATCAATTTTTTGAGTTCTTAAATAAAAATCTAAACATAAAAAATTAAAAAGTGGCAATGTAAGCAGGGCTATTTAGAAATATAATAGTTAATAGCAAAGAATCAGCTAAAAGGTGCTCTAGTGAAGGAAAAAGAGAGTTGAGAAAGGGTGGAGAACCCTGTAGTAATTGGCTCTTTAAGCCTTGCATAGTGTATAACTTTCATGAAAAAAGCAAAAAATTAAAGAGAGAACATTTACAGGGTACTACTGAAAACTGGGATTTGGAGGGCTCATCTTGATTTGTCCCAGGGTGCTTTTAGGCTTTGCATTCATAGGGGAGAAAAATCATCAAAACACTGAATAGAAGAGCATTCTCTGAGAAAGCCCTATATAGCATAAGAATGAAAACTCTGGATTAGGTCTAACCTCTCTAAATCTCAGTTTTCTCACCTATAAGATAGAGATAATAATATTCATGTGTGTGTACTATGTAAGAAAGCATTAAGCTGTGAAGCCTGTCAGAGTGATATGATGGTAGGAACTGGTTTTCCTCTCTTGACCTCGGCCTATCTGGCATGCCAAATAATTCCTTTTCTGTCGTATCTAAACATTTATTTCCCTATTCATAGATATGGAAGATGCTGGGTTTCAGGGAAACAAGCTCATCAAGATCTCAGAGACTTCAATTCACCAATGTGTAAAGTGAACTTTTTTTTTTTTTTTAGTTTTAAGTGGACACAATATATTTATTTTACATTTATGTGGTGCTGAGGATCGAACTCAGTGCCTCGTGCATGCTAGGCAAGCACTCTACCACTAAGCCACAACCCAGCCCAAAAGTGAACCTTTTATTTATTTATTATGTGGTGCTGAGGATCAAACCCAGTGCTAGCAAATGCTCTACCACTGAACTGGACCTTAATTATGTGATAATAGTATACATAGGATTTCCAGGCCTTTGGAGATGGGTGTGTATGTTTGTTGCTTTCAGAATCATTTCTTCACAAAGAACCTCAAGGGACTTTCTGTACAACACTTTGGGAAATACAAGCCCAAACCATCATATCCTATGGGTTCAGCCACTCATCCAACATACAAATAAAATTACATTTTAGTCATTTGTTTGCTGAGATAGGGTTCTGTTTCTTTTTTTTCTTCTTTTAAAGCAGCTTACAAGCATTTCCAGGTCTGTACTGAATATGTAAGTTCCCATTTTCTCAAGAAAATAAAGATACATGAAAATTTTATATGTATGAGCCAGCCAAGCAGCCAAAAGACAATGAATTGGTTATGGCTTATAGAAAAACAAATAGCCCATTGATATATTATTTGACATACAGTCTATTTTATGGGTTCCCTAAATTCATAATGCAGAGGCAAGGGAGTAAGTGGGAAGAGCTCCTTAAGAAGGCTGAGGGACACTAGCTGATATGACACTCTGGCCTTACCCGCATCAAGCATAATGCCCACCTCGCTTCTGATTTCTTAGCTGTTCTACGTGACTCCTATGACATGGCTACCTTGCTGATCAGCCACGGAGCGGATGTAAATCTACGATGTGCCAATGACAGGACTGCTCTCCACGAGGCAGCCAAACTGGGCAGACAGGACATGGTGAAGCTTATGCTGGTTTCTGGGGCACACCCTGACCCCCGGAGCACCTATGGATTCACTCCACTTGCTCTTGCTGCCCAAAGTGGACACACTGAAATTATGGCATTATTACTGCAGAAAGGCAAGATTTTCTATATAGTCAGCATACTACCATAGAGTAACTTGATCCCAGTGTTCTCTTCTTGATGGAGAGCTTCAGAATAATAGAAGTTAATATCTTATTTAAAACCAATTTAAATGTTTGAAATTTGTGTATTAATATTGGATACTAGAAAGCCTAAAATAATCAGACTGGTTTTCTTATTTGATGATGTGATATAATTTCCTTAAAATTATTGCAATGCAGGGTGACCCTTATACTTAATGTTCCTTTAGTATTCTTAGAGGATAGTTGTTTTTTTTTTAAACATTTTTGTGTTGATGTCCTTTCCTAGAATCAAAATCAAAGTCCTTGCAACATTCTGTACATACTGTTGCTACTTATGCTAAGTCATGAGGCAGTTTAATCTGTCGCAGAATATCTTTGAATGTTAGGAAATTCTTCCTCATTTCTTCTCTTCGTATCCCTGTTCTCTTTTCTACTAATAGTCAAAACTCTAAGAGAAGGAGAAGATGATTTATATTTATCTTTTAAAACATATTTTTAAAAATTTTTTTTTAATATTTATTTTTTAGTTGTACACAATACCGTTTTTTTTTTTTTAAATGAGGTGCTGAGGATTGAACCCAGTGCCTCACACATGCTAGGTAAGCATTCTACCACTGAAGCTACAACTCCAGCCACTGATGTATATTTATTAAATACTTTCTACATAACAGGCATTAAGCTGTTGCCTCATGTAATCCTTTAAAAAGTCTGTGAGGCAGATATTAATCTCATTTTGCTCTTGAGAAAAGAAGTTCAGAGATGGTACCAGTTATAGACTTCTCTTCAAACACACTTCCTCCCTGCCCTCCGCATTGTAACTGTGGTCATTTTAGATAACTGGCAGGGACTCTCAAAGAACTTTGGCATTTACCAGGTGTAGTGGCATATACCCGTAGTCACAGTGACTTGGGAGGCTAAGTCAGGAGAATCAAAAGTTTGAGGCCAGCAAATTTAGTAAGTCCCTAAGCAACTTAGCAAGACTCTTGTCTCAAAACAAAAAAATGAAAAAGGGCTGGGGATGTAGCTCAGTGGTAAAGCGCTCTTGGGTTCAATCTCCGATACCAAAATACACACACACACACACACACACACACACACAGCAACAAATTTTCAATCCTTTACCTTTCAAAGAAACCAGGATCATGTGACTGGTGAGTTCAGTGATTAAGCATTTCCCTTAACCGCCTTACAAAGTAATTTACACATCGTAACTGTTTTAGTCAGCTTTCTTGTCCCTGTGACCAAAAGACCTGACAAGAACAACATACAGAAGGGAAAGTTTATTTGGGGCATGTGGTTTTAGAAGTCTCAGTCCACAGAGGGCTAACTGATTGCATAACTCTGGGCACAAGGTGAGGCAGAACATTATTGTGGAAGAGTGTGGTCATGGAAAGAAGTCAAGACATGGCAGTCAGGAAGAGGGAGAATAAAATATACTCCAAAGGCATGCTCCCAGTGACCCACCTCCACCAGCCATACCCTACCTACTTAGAGTTACTTCCTAGTTAATCCATATTACTGGATTAATCCATTGATTGGGTTAGGCTCTTATAATCCAGTCATTTCACCTTTAAAATACATGCATTGCTTAACACATGAGCTTTTGGGGGACATATCTAAACCATAACAGTGACATAAATAGTAAATGGCAGAGCCAGTATTTGAAGTCATATCTGCCTGATCCCGCATTGTTAGAGACAAGATGGTATCATAGAAATAAGGCCTTAGTCTGGAAAATCTATGTATGAATCCTAACCATCTTGCTTATTACTAGCTGTGTGTCTTTGGGCAAGTCATTTAAAACCAGTAAGCCCTTGTTTCTTCTTCTTTTTTTTTAATATTTTTAAAATGTTGATGGAACTTTATTTTATTCATTTATTTATATGCGGTATTGAGAATTGAACCCATGGCCTCACACATGCTAGGCAAGTACTCTACCACTAAGCCACAATTCCAGACCTAGTTTCTTCATTTTTAAAATGGAGATCTTAGCACCTACTTCTGGGGTTTGCTGTAAAATTTAGAAATGATTATGCACATAGTAAACAATAAATGAAGGTATATTAGATTTCTAAATACATTCTAGGAGTGGGGTTCTTGGGCAGCCACTATACCCTGATGATTTTTATCTATCTATTCAAAAGTAAAGCCACTATATCTTCTTTATGATTTATGATGTGTCCAGAATGCTCTCCTTAGCTTTTGTCCATCCAAATGCTACTCTTTCTTCAGAGCCCATTTTATTGAGAAAACTTCCAGAACTGACCCAAACTCCTTTCTTTTATCTGTAAGCTCCCCTTACAGCCCCAGCCCTAGATCTTCTAGAAGGCACTTTTGCCTCTACCTGAATTCTTATCCACACCACTCACATGATACTTGGCATAGGTACTACAATTTATCTTTATAGCTATCAGCAATCCTCAATTTCAGTTTAAAACAATTAGTGTCTCTTATTACGAACAGTCCTTTATGAAGAAGTTTTAAAAAATGCCCCTTTCCATCAAAACATCATTAAATGTTATGGTGATATAATTCAGTTAGTTATTACCATCCTATCTGTAAGCATATTGTGAGGTAACTGGGCTTTGTATACTGGTTTAGAAATCCACCTTTTATGAAAGTATGTCTACTGGAAATTTTTAGTTCCAAACAACTTATAAAAATTGCTCTGAAAGCCAGCTTACCTATAATTTACAAACTGTTTGTATCATGTCCCTCCCCTCCACATTAGTTTATAAATTGCTTGAGAAAAGAGCTACCTATTTTATTTGATTCTTAGTTCTTCACTAAAGTAGGTATGCATTTTTTGATTTTAAGATTGCTTATATACAATGGAAAACAATTTTTGCAAGATGACTTTTTCCTCTTAGGTGCTAATGCTCATGGTCAGGCCTCTGATTCATCTTCCATATTACTTGAAGCTGCTAGAGGAGGAAATCCAGACTCTGTGACTCTCTTGCTAGAGTATGGAGCTGATGCCAATATACCTAAGAATTCAGGCCACCTGCCCATTCATGTGGCAGCTGACAGAGGACACTTATTGTAAGTTAAATTATATTACTGTAAATAATAGAAATAGTAATAACTGACTTTTTTATAAGCAACTTCTAGGAACTTTATATTTTTTCTCTGATCCAACAACCTAAACCTTAAAAAAAGAAAAAAGAAAAATCTCTGGACCTGCTAGAAACTGGTAAGGCCGAGCATCTTCTGTAGCTGCTGAAGACACAGAACTGCTTTCAATATGGGAAACTTTGGGTCTCAAATGACTGGGCTAATACTGAGTTTTAAACCTAGACAATAGTTCCATTCAGTTTTACTTGCTATATAAGCTGCCAGATGAAGGAATTAGTTTTTTTGTTGGAGGGTTCTAATTGCCACCTGATACTAATACTATATATACCATTAATATAAAAGAATCATAAACAGGCTAACTCTGTATCTTGATGAAACCATTTTGAAATGTACTTTGGAATTCTTTCTTAGAGTTCTAAAGATATTGATTCCAGTTACGGACCTTGCTGCCATTAAGCGGAGTGGGATCAGTCCAGTTCATTGTGCAGCAGCAGGAGCACACCCTCAATGCCTGGAACTTCTCATCCAGGCTGGATTTGATGTGAATTTCATGCTAGATCAGAAAATTCGTAAACATTATGATGACCAAAGGAAATCAGCTTTGTATTTTGCTGTATCAAATGGTGACCTCTCTTCAGTTAAGCTGCTTCTGGGAGCTGGAGCTCTGCCTAATCAAGACCCAGTTAACTGCCTGCAGATAGCCCTTAGGATGGGTAACTATGAGCTCATAAGTCTACTGCTAAGACATGGTGCCAACGTCAATTACTTCTGCAGAGTCAACCCTTTGCATTTCCCATCAGCACTGCAATACACACTAAAAGATGAAGTCATGCTCAGGATGCTGTTGAATTATGGGTATGACACAGAGCGATGTTTTGATTGTCCTCATGGGGATAAAATTCATCCTTTCTATACTTTTGAAGGCTGGACATCTACAGTTATTAAAGATACTATGGTAAGTCCACAGGATTAGTTGTATTACCTTAAGACATTCATTATCCATAGTCTGGGAACTATAGTAATACTCAGTCCACTCTCTAGAAGCTAATTGTTGGAAGACTCTAGAGTGAAAAATACATGATAAAATATCATGCAGATATCTATCAGTAGAAAGATATAAAAGGTACAGAATCAACTCAGAGAAAAAAGGGACTTTACCTAGAACTGTCAGGGAGTTTCACAAATGAACTGACTCCTGAGCAAGGTTTAAAAAATGAATGCAAACTGCAGGGCTGGGGTTGTGGTTCAGTGGTAGAACACTTGCCTAGCATGTGTGAGACACTGGGTTCAACTCTCAACACTGCATATAAATAAATAAAGGTCCATCAACAACTAAAAACCTTTTTAAAAAATGAATCCAGCCTTATATTTCGGTTACATTTTCTCTTTAGCTAAAATGTTGCTGGATTCCAAATACCTATACCCTTAGGTTTTTGGCTCTTTGAGCATTTGATTAGTCTTATTTGGTTAGTTTTATGATGAAAAAAGTTACAGTAAACAGTTGACCCCTCCTGATTAGAGAGATTTTTCTCACACCAGACCCCTAGTTTTTTCTTACCTAATTGGTCACTTCTGTTTTCCCCAACTTGAGTTTTTCCCCTAGCTTTTCAAATGGTTGCTACTTTTCAGGTCTCATTTCAAGTGTCATCTCTCCAAAAACGCCCATCTTAGGTAGTCCCCTTCCCCATCATTCTCTTATCATGATCATTTCTTTGTAGAATTTGACTTTCTGAATATTATTTTAGTATTTTAATGACTGTACCTCTTATAAATATCCTCAGTTTACACATGTCTGTGCTTAGCACATAGTAGATGCTCTATAAATATTTGAATTCATATTACCAAAATTTAAAAAATAGAAATGAAACAGTAAATTGAAAAAGCTCCTTGAATCAATTCTGAAAAGTTACAGGCAAAATATTCTTGTATTTATTATTTTTAGGTGATTAATATAGGACTTAATTTCTACACCATTAATTCAGCATTAGGGGATATACCATCTGGTATTATTTCCTGACTGTTCAGGAACAGTCTCATTTCTCATCTGGACATCTTATTTAAGAGCATGTTAATGATTTAAAGGCCAAAACTGTTACTTTCCTTTTATATCAGGGTTGGACTAAGATTTTTGAATGACAGAAAAATCCCAAAATAAAAGCTTTTAACAAAATGTCAGCCAGGCATAGTGGATCACATGCAGTCCCAGCTACTTGGGAGGCTGGAAAGAGAGAGCGAGATAGTGAGACTCATCTCAAACCAAACCAAATGGCTCATTCCCTCTCATATAAAGGACAGAAGTAAATAGCCTTGTAAATGGACAGTGTCATGATTCATAAAAGCAGCTTGTATCCATATTACAGTCTGCAAGAAGAAAGGGAAAAGGAAGCATCACAGACCTTGCCTTTCTTGCATGGTATTTGGGGAGCTGCTGAGGCTTCCACTTACCTCTCATTGGTTAAAGGTTAGCCAAGTGGCCACACCTAGCTGCAAGTGAAGCTAAAAAGTTAATCTTTATTGTAGACAGCCAGGTGACCAACCAAGGGAGTTAACAGATATTATGTAACAATCTCTGCCACACCTTTATTACTTCTTATATGAAGAATCAGTAAATATATTTTTCCCAAATGTTAGGACTAAGAAATCAAATGAGGAACTGAATACTTTCAGCTTAGTATTCTTTTGATTACTGTGCTAAACCATAGATACTCTTAATTTAATTTTCTGACTTTCCCCCTTTAGTTCTGTGAAGTAATAACTTTATCATGGCTGCAGCATCTCTCTGGAAAGGTTGTTCGAGTGATGCTTGATTATGTTGATCAAGTTCAAATCTGCTCAAAGTTGAAAGCTGTGCTCCAAAAACAGGGGCTCTGGTCAGAAATACATTTTATCTTGAGTGAGTATCTGTCTTATAGAAAACTTTTACCAAAATACTAATCATATTATTTGTTCTATAGAATATTCTTTGTGTTAAAAGCATAACCTAAAGCAACCAAAAAAATACTATTCCTTCGTAAAACTACAGTGTAGTCATTAAGTTGTACTTACTACAATTTTCCAGCAGACAAAATCTGTTAGGTAATTACTTATAATTATATGTGGGTAACACTTTTTTCCCAACCCAATTACCCCATGACTAGGAAGGAACATTATAGACAGGAATTAAAAGGTATGACATGGCAATAAAAAACAGATAAGAAAAGATCTAAATTTGTAGGGGATACCAAATGACCCTCTCCAAACCAAATTTTTTCAAAGTTGCACCTAAGTCAATTAAAAATTTATTTTATCCCATTTCCCCCTGGGTGGTGATCTTTAGTTTTGCCCTGTCCCTGATAGAAAGAATTGGCAGGGGGTGGGGAGTGGGGTTAATAGAGATTTAAGTACTTAGGGTCTCACAAGCCAGATGCACAATTGATTTGTCTTTGGATTCCAACTTGATATGCATCTAAAGTCATATTTTTGCAAAGCGTTGCAAGAGAACTGAAAAACTTTCCCTATTGATATTCCCATTTAATCACAGCCAATGCAAATCCTGGTGGTTTAAGTATCAAATACATTTGCTAACTAAACCCTAAGATCATTAAAAAAAAAAAAAAAAAAGCAATTCTTTAATTCTTTCTCCTTTTAGATAATATCCTATTTCTTTCATTTTAGCAAACCCTCGTTCCCTAAAACATTTGTGCCGCCTAAAGATCCGCAAGTGTATGGGGCGTTTGCATTTACGCTGCCCTGTCTTCATGTCATTTCTTCCATTGCCCAATCGTCTAAAAGCATACATCCTTTACAAAGAATATGACCTTTACGGACAAGGAGTTTTTACAGAAACCTGGTAATCATATTATTCTACAGGAAAAGGTATAATTTTGCAGCTTATTTTTTTCAAATGGGATTTGTCTTCTATGATTCATATTTTTTGCTTTACCCAGTAACTAAAATCAGTCTACGTTCTTTAAGTAGTTTCTCTGAATATGGCCTTTCAACATATAAATGGCTATAAGTCCAAAGTTAGTTTTAAGAAAAGCAAAACCCAACTAGTGAATATTTTAATTAACTAAATACACCAGTTTTTTGTTTTTGTGGTTCTGGGGATTGAACCAGGGCCTGGATCATGCTAGCCAAGCACTCTACCATTGGACCATAATGCCAGCCCTATATACCAGTTCTAATTCTGTAGTGATCTTACATTAAGTGTATAAATGTGCTCAAAATAATGGATGCCATCTCTGACAATTGGAGATTCTTTTTTAAATAGAGAAGTATTAGTGATTGTATTGAATATATACTGACTCCATTACATGCCCTGGAAGTAAACTATTTGTGTGCAGAAATCACAGTTGTTTTTTTTTTGTTTTGTTTTTTTGGGTTCTCAAGATTGAACCCAGGGGGCTCTACCATTAGGATATATCCCTAGCCTTTTTCACTTTTTATTGAGACAAGGTCTTGCTAAATTGCTAAGGTCAGGCTTGCACTTGTAATCCTCCTGCCTCAAGTAGCTGAGATTGCAGGCATGCACCACCAGGCCTGGCATTGTTTCTTTGTAGTCAAGTACAGGGATGGAGTAATTCAGTTAATTCAAATAGATCGTTCAATTAAAACTTCATCATTAATAGGAAACACATATTCCCTCCTGCCTTCTTTCCAAATATTTTTGGTTATGGTTTACCACTTATTGGTTAATATAATTAATTCAATGGGAATTAAAAAGGGTTTTCAAATGGATAGGCTTATGGTTTCTATACTGAACCTAGTCGGCTAGTGGACATGGAGGGTTTCAATGATTACAGAAGATGTCAGATTAAATTATTTCTTTATATTCTCTACTGCATGTGAATATAGAATATTAAGTTCCATTTTTTATTTCTATGCATTCTAAGTTGCATCTAAGTTCAAGTTTCTGTATGTGGATAGTACAGAAAGAAACTGAGAAATATTCATTCAGTCACATCTATGTCAAGTTGAGAGAGCACATCAAAAGGACAACAGAGAATGATGTAGTTCATTTTCTCCACAGTTCCATTAACTATACAGCTTTGATTTTTACATATTTAGTTTTAACATTTTTTAGCATAATATAGTCCATTTTACTGCAACTAAAACTGTATGATTTCTGATGCAATAATTGATTCATGGTTATAAAGACTACTTCAGTAAGCAGAAGATTTAGAATTATATTTAGCTTTTTACATTTAAAATGTGCAAAACTGGCTAACACGAAGTTTTGTTTTTTTTTTTTTTTAATCTCATGTGCTTATAACGAAGTGGTAGTTTATATATATGTATATGTGTCAATATACAAAAATACATTTAGGATATACATGTACTTAGATAAATTACATAATTCTAAAATTAATTTCATCTAATCCCTTGACTTTCTGAAAGTATATACATTTTTATAAAATTCAAAAACAAATTAGAACATAAAATTCCCAGTAGAACTTAAGTTATATACTAAACTACAAAGAGTTACACAGCATGACTATATATTACTATTAAAACTACAGGTCAAGCTACTTAAAGTTAGAACACACAATTATTTGTCCCTTTAAATTAGAGGAATTTCTTTAAGTAGAATCCAACAGTTGTAAGTATACATTGCCTGTAACATATCTAGGGTAATTATCAAGAAAAGTCACTAATAATGAATTATAATTTGCTTTTACAACAAACTTCCCAATAAGTGACAACACCAATCAAAATTACTTGGAGAAATAAAATTCAGAAAATATATCAAATATTTTATACAAAAAAAGACTGTACAAAAATCAGACTTTATTATACATTAAAAAAATCTAACAACATATTTCCTGAAGCCTTGTCAGCAAATGCCTATTTTGACAAAATGAAAAAATAAGTTCTCTGTCCTACATGTATACCATGGTCACATAAAGGTGAGTTCCTCAAATCCAATTCTAAAGGGAAATGTTAACATGACTTAATGGTACACTGCATGATTTAACTATCAGTGAGATAAGAATTAACCAATTCACTTACATTACAAAAATCACTGAATATACAAAGCAATTTCACACATTAGTTATAATTTAATCCCCAGTTCTTCTATTAATTTAAAGTAAATTACTTATGAGTACAGCCACAAGAGGTTGGTTAAAAAAGTATAAAGTGGTTCCAGTTTCAAATCTTTGTATTATTAATTAATGTAGAACAGAAACTTCATGAAAAAGGAGTAAATGCTAAAAATAAAATGAAGAGTTTAATTGTTACAATTGGTATATTTAAATATTCAAAGTACAATTCAAATGAAAGGAGGTTGTCAAAATCAACATTAATATTTTCATTTTATTCAGGTTGCAAAAGGTTTTGCTAAATATGCTAGATTCTTAGTCTGTTAACATTTGTAAGATGCAAATTTTAAACACTGTGGTTCCTATACATAACTCAGAATTAACTCAGATGCTTTTATCACAACATTTTATGTTACCTAGGAAATTACACACATCCTATTGTCCTTTTCCCAAAAGTAATGGAAACAACAAATTTAGTTTGTGGATCCTGTGAATTCTTTTAAAATTGCACACAAAGTAATCCTTATAGACATGACAAGAACTAGATTAGATCAGCTTTAGGGACTTTGTTCAAGGTACCAGTTTCAGTACCTAATTAGCAAATTTTCAAAATTCTAAAAGGATGCACTAATAATTGATTTTTTTAATCTATTAATTTCATTACCATAGTTACAAAAGCACTGTTCACATAGGAAGCAGAACATATAGCAGAATTAGGCAGGCTTAATTTCTTTCCTTAAAAAAATATGTGGTTAATTTCTAAAAATCATTAAATATAAATTTATGCCAGAGAAGAGATATCCCCAAATCTAATCCAACTGCCAATGAAGCATCTCAGAGTTTTTGAAGGGGTTTCAGAGGAGATCAGCTGGAACATTAATATGAAGCCCATGGGCAGCATTCTTTAAATAAAAAGGAGAGCTTATTAAACTTGATGCTTACAGGTCTGCAATAATAGAATAGTTCCTATAGTTTAGTAGTAATGGAAGAGAATTTTCATCTAAATTGCTAAATGTACTCATGATTTCTATTTGGCACTGGAATGCATCTTTCCTATGGACGTGGACATTTTTTAAATTTATTTTAGTTATATATGACAGTTATTGTGGTAATTCTTATGAACATGACTTAAAGGGAACTACACACACACACACACACACAAAGGAACTATAAGTCTGTCCAGCATCCCTACGTCTACCAATACCCTTAACCTCAGTCTACACTTTGACCCAGAGGGCTAACAATGGGTAGCACTTTGCTACCATGCAAAGGACCAACCAGGTAAAACTGCCTTCTAATGATGACCAACTTCCTTGTGAGGCAACAGATTTCATGTGAACTTAGCGAGGTGCTATATAAAGAAAAGACAATGAAACTGAAAGTTAACCAATCTCAAAAAAGGTCTTAAAAGCAGGAATTTCCATGACCAATCAAGTACTGATCACAAATTTCAGCTTTAACAAAAGGAATGATACAATATTTTAAAAGCATTCCCTTTAGTAGGCACAAAATAAACTTAATCAAAAAGTATTCCATAAATGTCTACTTCTTTACTATATGTTTTAGTATCATAAGGCTTTAAGGAGTATTAAATAATCATTACTCCCAGTTGGCACATGGATAAAAATATCATGAAGCTATGTATAATTATCCCATTCCTACAGAAAACAATGTACATATACAGTATGAAATTGAGCTATATTTTGAGAGCTTTTAACAGATGCCATTTCTAATTCAGACCTAAAAAAAGAAAAAAACTACATATCAAAGGACAAAAGGATTTTTTCCCTTGTGAAATTAGTATTAGTGGCTAACCTACTGAAAAATTCTAAATGTTTAACTATGTAAGATATTTTACTCAATATATTTAACTTATATGTATATATGTATATATACTTTTTCATGTGGAACACATGAACATAACTTCTATAAGCCATGTTTAAATCTGAGCAAAGTAAAAGAAATTAATTTCTGACAGAAGATAGGCAGTAGAGAAATGTTATTTTAAACCTGTAGCAGGCTAAAATCCTTCCTTGGTCAACTTCCCCTACTAGCTATACCAATCATTCAATTTCTTTTCAGTCTTTCATGGACTCATACCTTTTACTCATTTGAAAAGTATTTACAATAGTTAGTGCAAACTATTCTATGCTCATAAATTAGTTATTTGCCTTTGTGGATATAAAGTGATGATTCAGTACTTTATCAAAATATGGGATTATGAAAATACTGGGCATATCAGTCTGAAATTTAAAAGATTACATTTTCTAAACTAAACTCTGGGAATTTTTACTTTTAAGCAGTAAACATAATTGGTATATAACTTCTTTTGAAATGTCATTTGAAAATGTCATTTGATTATCAGTAAAAATCATTTTACATAATGCTGAAAATACAATGTATCATCTTCTAACAATATCTTTACAAGCCAGTCCTAATCTAAAATGTATTTGAACAAAACAGAAATATTTTAATGAATTTCAAAATCTTATTTTAATCATTACTGCTCTGCAGTAATAATTGAAGTCCCAACCTGAGAACTGAGAATATGATAATAAAATGCCAAGGGCTGTATGAATTTTGAACCAAAGATACAAGCTTTTTTCACTACTGGCATCAGGTATAGTACATCAGAGAAATGTGAGCAATAAAAGAAAGTGTCCTGCAATCAACAGTGCCACCTGCCACAAGTTGGAAACCTTAAGTCTAAAATCTCTACGATTTTATACAAATTCTATTGCACAGTAAATAATGTTAAAATATTTGCAAATTTGTAGAATTCTCTGTAGAAAGGGTCACTTAGTTGAACACTTCTTCACTGCCAGCAAAATGTTCCTAATAAAAGGGAGCGAGTATATCCATGAATATATGAATACCTAAGAATAAATTATTTCTGATGGGCATAGGTAGTTACAACACAAGATTAAAAGTTCAAAATTTGAAGGAAAAAAATGCTTAAGTATAATTCCTCAGCAACCTGTTTTAGGGAAATAAGTTTTGTTTAGACAAGTACAATGTTTTTTAAATATATTTTTTAGTTATAAATGGACATAATGTCTTTATTTTGTTTATTTATTTTTATGTGGTGCTGAGGATCGAACCCAGTGCCTCACATGTTCAAGGCAAGTGCTCTGCCACTGAGTCACAACCCAGCCCTAGACAAGAGGAATTTAATGTTAATGCATACATTATTATTTTTAAGGGAAAATAAAAAACAATGTAAAACTAAATCATCAAGTTCAACATTTTTTTACGTGAAGCTAAAAACAAGCAAATATAAAGTGTAGTCTCCTCCTTGATATTTCAACATAGTTGTTACCTTGTGCCATTTCACCATAGAAATTGTCAATTCCGGAGGGGGGGGGGCAGTGTCAATCAAAAAGCAATGTAAGTTTATGCTTCTGACTCTCTCTTCTGTCCTTCTTCTCCCAAATCACTCTCTTCTGACTGGCTACTGCTAAGGACAACAAACTGCCCCTCACTACTGGCTTGGTTTGTTCTACTGGAAGCAGCTATCAACCGACTCTGTTCTTCCAAGTCCTAGTGGGAAAGAAAGAAAAGGAACTAAATTAACTGTCTGCAGTCAAATGAAAGCTATGCACTTAAAAATACATACTTGAGAGCCATTTCCATCCTTTTGTCATAAAGATGTATGCAAAATTCTAGCAACCTTATAAAAAGAAAGGCTATGCCTAACCAATGCTACTACAAAATAAATTTGGCATTATTCTAGAAATTCTGTAAAATCCAAATTCAAACTTAAAAATTGCTGGCATTTTCCTCATTTTATTTTTTATAGCCAATAATCTAATTCAGTCCATCATCTCTTACTATACACTACATAAGTAATCTCAATTTTCATAATAAAAGCCCCATAATGGATTACCCCATACCTCATGCCTTCCTCTTTTTCAGACCTCTTGTCCAATTCATTTTGCTGAATCTGGCATCACCTTCCTTCAGTAAGCCTATCAAGGGAAGCCTGATGACTTCAGTGTCACCTTTGCCACTTCCCCCTTCTTTGTCCATACATCCAACCCACTGCCAATTCTTACTGATGTGTTCTCCAAGTATCCCACAACTGTCTTCTTTTTCCATTCCTATTGTCAATGCCACAACCCATAAAGTCTCTTGGATCACCTAATCAAGATTTTGTTTGGAAAATTGTGTAGCTTAAAATTATTCTTTTGTGGTCTTGATCCCCCAGCATTGGGGGGGAAAAAATCTTTTAGTGGATAATGAATTGGCATTCCTGGCAACATTTAAAATTTAATTCACTTAAAGGGAAAAATGGTTTTCAGCAATAGCAATTTAGTCCATAAAACCTCTCAAAAGAGTGGCTTTGAGGGGCTGGGGATGTGGCTCAAGTGGTAGTGCGCTCACCTAGCATGCGTGAGGCACT